TACCTATCTACCTAAATGAGAACGGTTTGTTATAGAAATGATGAATTACTGCCTGCTGCCTACTGCATGAAGATTATAAAAAAGAATGCTTTTTTCCAGAGTAACTCAGATTTTTTTGATCTTTTAAAACTTAAAAAAATGATCGTTAAAATAATTTTGAACTTAAATCGTTTCATCCTAACTGTGTATATAAAGAATATTTGTCCCTGTCTAACTAATTGTCCCTAGGCCTGTGATGTAGGATGGATGAAGGGCTCCTAAAACCCTCCAATCCTTCCAATTAAGAGTGAATATCAAACGGTTAAACATGAGGGAGGGCGGGGGTTGTTGTAAGATCTTTGAAAAAAAGCCAGAAATAATTTAGAATGCTTTTAGTTGATGTCTATATATATCTAGTTTTAAGGATTAGGAAATATAGATAATAGATATATTCTAAATATATAGATAAACAAACAGTTTACAGGCGTGTAAATAGAGAATAAGAAATTAAGAAATAGAATTAATATTACCAAAAATATATATTCATGTCAAGTACCATTTGTTATTTTTTAAATGAGAAAAAATCTATTGTTATGATTATAAAGCAAAAAGTTTTAATTCTTCAAAAATTATTTGGAATTGATTTTTTCAGCAAAAAAAATGTAGATTTAAAAATATATACAACCCTGGATTTGTGTATAAAGAGCAATACAGATTTTTTTTTACGGCATTAAAACAATTAATTTGCAGATACATATACTGTCAGTAAAAAAATTATAAATATCTTCCAGGCAATGCAGATATAAAGGGTCAGATTATGGAGACTTAGTTATAAACATAATTTATGATAAATTTAGATTTGACGTAGTTGCTTATAGTAGTTTAAAACAATGTGTAAACATTTAATGGAATGCACACTTTGACATTCTTTTTGACTATAATTAAGCAAAACACATTTAATGATAATGATTGATGCCAGAATCTACATCATAACAGTTTTCTCACTATTTACCCACTGAGGGAAAATATACATTTTCCATTGTTTCTTGGGTTTTTAGATTATGATCTATGTATGATCCTAGAAGATCATTCTTCCATTCTTGTTAACTCTTGTTTTCCCTGTATAGGGGTTTTAATTTTAAAATTCAGTGATGGTGATGGACCAAACCTCTGTAGAGTAAAAAAGTAGATGTTAGTTCCACATTTATTGAAAATATATTTCGGTCTGGGTTGACCCTCGTCAGTTCTAACGATATAATAACCATCAAAATCGATAAAAAAAAAAAATTTAAAAAATGTAAAAATCACAAGAATATAAACAAACAAAAAGATTATTCAAAATAAAAATTTGGGCTGTCTTTGGGAATTATTTCCTCACTTGGCAGAAAATTGTTCCTTTATTCTCCAGATCCTGAATGTGCAATATCAGGATAATAGTGACCTCATACATCTTATCAGCCGAGGAACATTAGTCTACCAGCTCCATTATCCTTCCTCCTCTGTCTTCCACCGGACCTCTGCCTCTGATCTCCAGCTGTTGACCAGCCGAGCTATGCTGTCTCCCTTCCTGACCTGAACAAAGATATCATTATTATTAAAAATATAAATTTAATGCTCAAACCTGGAGTGACTGAGAACTTGGATATCATTAGATTGCGTTCAATGATTGAATTAAATACTACAGGATATAAAAATCATTGTTTTTTTTCATTTAAACAACAATTGATTGGTATCTATTCTAGCCCATCCTTGGTTGGAGCATTACAGTATTTTTGACTTTGGCAAAAATGAAATTTTTTTCCTTGGTGAAATTGATTTCCCCTTCTTTACCCTTTTATATTGTCATTGTTGTCTTCATTGTCAGTCCTACTCTCTGACCTACTTCTCCCCCTCTCCCCCCTTTCTACTCTATATCCTGATTTACTAATCATTTCGACAATTGTTTATGTTTCTGAGATGTTTGCTTGCAAATGTAGTAATTAGAATAAAGATTACAGCACAAGGGCTACCAACAGCATGAAGGAGATCATTTGGATTACTTTATTTGCATAAAATTATGATATAAAAAATTAAAATGCAAATAGAATGTACATTATATTCTTGAAATAAAACAATACAACTAGAAAGCAAAATTTAATCAAAACGTGCCATTATGAACAAAAGTGAAAATATCAATAGTGACGTTTATAGTACAAATAGCTAACCCACAAAATAAATGACTATGTGGATAGATCTAAAATGCAGTTTTTCAGCCTGTCCTCGGCATTTTTTTAAGAGATTCTGCTCTGGTCCTGCGGGTTGAGGTTCTGCTTTCACTCCTTGGACGTCTGGGAGGTCCTACTCCTATATAGGTCTCGATTTGCCCATGCTTTATTGAGAACTGGTCGTACTGTTTGGGTTTATATAGAACAACATATTTCCCGAGATCATGGTTTCCGTATTCCTGACGGCTGACGGTAAATTGTGCGAGATTTTTTCTTGGGTGTTCTCGGTGCTATTGTCAAGGAAATGGGTCAAATTTGTTTAACCCTATTCCTGCTGAGGGGTTAGGTTAGGTTTTCAACAGCCTCAGACCAATACTTTTTTTTACATAACTCAAAAAGTATTGGTCTGAGGCTGTTGAAATTTTCTGACTTTTCCTACATACCCAAAGTCCTCCCTTTATGCCTAAAACCGGGCTTTAATACTAACTGCCTGAGTCCTCAGGCACACTGCCTGAATGACTGCTTTTTCTGTAACAAACTAAATCTTTGTTTTGACCCACTTCCAACTTGTCAGATTTTGATAAAATTTAGCTTTTTGAAAAGCCTTTGACACAAGGAAACGAATTGCATAAGTTTTGCGAAAAAAATGCAAATATTTGGCAAACAGCCTTTCAAAGGAAATTTGCACATTTTTAGTTTTTCTTGATTAAAAATCAGGTTATTTAAAATTTTGCAAAAATTTTTGCATATTTTAAATGGCATGGTCAAGGGCTTTTTAAAAATGTATAATTTTTAATTTTTGGACAAATTTTTTTTTGCAAACATTTCTACTACATAACTGGATTTTGCGATAAAAAATTCAATTTTGCAAATTTACTAATTTTTTTGCAGATTCTAAAAGTAGAGCACAAGAGCTTTCCAATGATGTATCATTTGTCATATTTGGACATCAAACATGGGATTTAGAGTAGGGGGGGGGGGTCAATTTGACCCCCCCCCAGCATATCCTGGTTTTCAAGTACCCCAGCAGAGATAGGGTAAATGGTTTAGAGATTCTTCTTGACCTTTGTTCTCCTGAACCTAATGAATTCCTGATGCATCTTGTTGTTGACGTTGCTTTAGGTACTGCACTAGGTTCCGTAAATTATAATTCTCCTGTTTTACTTTAAACACGTTTCTTTTCAGGTTCATGGTTTCCGAACTGTGTTCCAGTTCAGCCTCTATTTCCTGTATAGATTTTAATAAACTTTAATAATAATAATAATTTGTATGGAATTTACGAAAGCTTTTTTTGTTAATTCTTTGGTTATCGTAAAAGTCGATTTTTAGATTTTTTTGTTATTATTAAAGTATCTTTTTTGTAAGTCTATGCATCCTATGCAGCCATATATAAACCTGTATATATTTCTTATACAAGTCTATGCATCCTATGCATCCTATGCAGCCGTATATAAACTTGTATATAGTTCTTATACAAGTCTATGCATCCTATGCAGCCGTATATAAACTATGTATTTTCTTATACAAGTCTATGCATCTATGCATCCTATGCTTCATGGTATATATGAATATATGACTTTAACGATATATAAAATGTATATAAACTATATGCATCATGCATCCTATGCATTTAAAAAAGGGTATTATTATTCCTATGGTCTCATATTAGACCTCTAATGTTCCTAATGACCTACTGCAACACTGACCTATACGTACGAAAAATGCCCATCCGACCTACGAAAAGTGCCCATCCGACCTACGAAAAATGCCCATCAGACCTACTAATTTGTGTCCAAGCGACCAAGCTTAAGGAGGTCGGATGCACCAATTAACGTGCCCATCCGACCTAAATGTGCATCGGACCTACCACAGCTGTTAAAACCACGTGCTTGCAGGTCGGATATGGGCAGCAGTAGAGGGGATGCGGCGTAGGTCCAAAAATACACTATCCAATTATCCATATATCTATAATTAAATGAGCCGAATTCTGCTAGAATTAAAAAATAGTTCACGCGTTCAAATAATCTTCCACGCAGATTTTTGTTTGATTAAGCAATTAGTCCGAATGAACGTTAGTCCGAATAAACGTTAGCACGAATGTACGTTAGTCCGATCGAGTGCAATCGATATTTCATCCTTCGTAAATCTTTTATTCAAGACGACATTTTATAAACAACCAATGCGCAATTCTAAAAAATGCCGTAAACTTAGTTTTATCTTTTAAATAAGCCGACTTCGGAATTTACTTTAAATAGCATTATTCATTTTTACATGATTTCCATTATTATTTTACCTATTTCAATGAAATTCTGGATATGCAACCGCTATAAAAAAGTCCTGGTAATTTCCTAGAGAACGATTTTTGGACCCCACTTCCCTATAAGTTATGTTATAGATCTCATGTGTAACACATGGATATAATTGATCATGTGGCCGCAGTGCCCGGCGCCCCCCTAGCCTGTACTAGCGGCGGCGCTCGGCCCCCTAGCCTGTCCTAGCCGCACAGTTTGACCCCCAAGCCTGTCCAGCCGCAGCGCTCGGCCCAGAAATAGTCGTAACCTAACCTAACACTAAAATATTAAAAATTAAATAATAATAATTTTGCTGAAATCATCTACAAAAATGATCCATAAATGGTTCACTAGGACAGACCCAAAAAGTGCTTAGAAACAATTACTAAAGGCAGCGCAAACACTGCTCTAAAGATGTAGGTTTATAGTTTATAGATCATAAAAAGTTTGATAACAAAAAGATAAAGGTTGCTTTGTTTCTATGACAGTTCATTTAAAGCTGTTAGCCATGATTCTATTATTTATTTCAGCTTTCTACCCTTTTCCATCAGGACTTTTCCTGTTGAACTGTCTCAGCCAATGTAAGTCGTTTAAATCCATACATTAGCTATTGTACATGGACATGATATGTAACACATGGATACGATTGGTCATGTGGCCGCAGAGCCCGGCTCCATAGCCTGTCCTAGCTGGGGTGATCGGCCCGTAGTGTGTCCTAGCCGCAACGCCCGGCATTCTGGTCTAGAAATGGTCGTATCCTAACTTGACCCTAAATTAATACAAGAAAGTAATTAAAATTTTGCTAAAAATTAGTTGGTCCTGTTCAAAAATTATAGGGGGGAGGGGTGTTATAAAATCTTATACTAACACGGACACTAATATTTTTATTGGTGTCTGCAGTGCGCTATTAACTGGGGACAGGCCCGTAACCAGATTTTTTCCATGGGGGGTGCAAAGAAGCGCGCCGCAGGAAAATTTTTTATTTTGGTTTTTTTAAAAGCAATGCTTGGTTTGTTTTTACGGTGGTATATGGTTTTCTTTATTACATTGTCAATGTACGCTATAGATTAACCTTTTTAACAAGTGTATTTAAGCTTTTAAGGGTTACATTTTAGTGTCTGAAACTTTTCAGTTTACATATACAATATACATAAAAAATAAACGAATGGTACTTTTGCTTAAGGAAAAAATTCATTATTTAAAGTTAATGCTTCTTGTCCCTTGGCCTCATCATGATATTATGAAGATGAATAAAAAATAAAATTTCTAATATTTTGTTTAAAAGAGTCTATTTATTGACATTGAGACATTGAGACATTCTTAGTGAATTTTTGAGTACTCAAAAAAACCCTTCTACTTTGACTAAAAATGACAAATATCCTCGCTTAAAATAATGTTTTTGAAACTCCCAAAAATGGCTATTATATTCCAAATTAAATGGATGAACTGGACTCAGGATGTCCAGGATGAGTTGACTTGACAGAGTACACACAGAAACACACACACCCACTTTTAATGAGTAACACACAATAAGATTATAATTTGGTTTGGAAAGTGAATCAACTCTTGCTTGAGCTATATTATTGGTAACTAGATTTTAGAAAATTATGAGAAACAATTTCTTTTATATGGGACTGGGGGGGGGGGGGGGGCAAATTCGTCATTGCAGCCCCCTTTCAAAAAGGGGGTGCACCTGCACTCTTGCACACCCCCCCTGGTTACGGGCCTGACTGGGGATGCACTAATGGTAACTTCCTAGAAAATGTTTTTTTGGACCCTCCCCCCCGGTCTTCTACCTAATAACATTAAAATTGACTCTTATTTATGTTTATTAAGGCCGCAGCATCCGACTCCCTATTCTGTTTTAGCCTCACTGGTCGGCCCCAAGCCATGTCCAAGTATAGCGGCAGTGCTTGGCCCATATCTAGCCTGTACTAGCCACAACCCTTGGGTCAGACATCTTTTACTCTAACCTAACCATTTAATTGATTAAAAGATATTAACCTCATAGTGAAATTAGATTAAATCGCATGGAAGTGGGGAGGGTTACAAAAAGCATTCTCGAAAACAGACCCGCAAGAATTAAAATTTATTTTACAGAACCTTAGCAGCCTGCTAGTGTCCAAGAATTAAAATGGGAAAGCGTAAGAAGGACGGATCTAAAGCCGAAGATCAGATTGAAACGGACTCCCCCAGGCGACACAAGAAAACTAAAGAAGTTATTATTAGGGAAACAGATCATTTAACAACTAGATTAAATGTCAGTTTATCCCATGTGGATGTTTCTCTTAAATGTTCGTAATCATAACCATTTCTTACTTATTCTGAAATCTGAAAACTTATATTTAAATGAATAACTTTCCACCCATCAAGTGTTTTAAACAAATCACAAAGTATCCGTTTTGACATCTCTATACAATACATATGTATGTAGAAGGTTTGGTTGTCCGATTGACGTGTGCCATATTTTAATTTGGGAACTGGATAAACCACGGGAATTTTCTTGGTTTAAAAATTTTAAGTTGAGTGGGTTGACTTTTATAGATAAAGATTATTTTCATGGCAAAGCTGGATCACCAGGCTAGTTTGTATTGTATTGGTCATTTTCTCGCGGGTATTCTTTAAAACAAGGCATAGGGTCGTAAAAAATCACTGTCACTATTACCTGACAAAAAAAGTTCCCTTATAATTTTTAATTGATCTATATTAGTGAGGTATCGACCTGTAAGAATGGAAAAATGTTCCTTTAATTTTTAATTGATCTATATTAGTGAGGTATCGACCTGTAAGAATGGAAAAAAGTTTCCCCCGGTTTTCCTCAGCTTTACACACGCTAAATGCAATCCAGAGCAGTTAAATAAATCACAGGTAAAAGTATTTAAAATGATTTCAACATAAAATTTGTAAAATATTAAGACATTTCGGATGAATAAACAGACATTTATAGTGATAAAAATAAGGAGGGGTTAATACGACATACCAGACGGTGGGTATTACTCCCCAGCCAGTCCCCCCATCCCCTTAAAAAAATACCCATACATTTCTCTGATCGTTGAAAAATATACTTATTTTAGCCCTCCGTCGATGTGAAAATGAACGGTTGTATCGAAGGGAAAGTGCAGGTTGGTGAATTATTCCATTAATTAAAAACACTTTTTTAACGAAGTAATATAAATATTATTATTAAGATTGGGATAACCTTGAAGACTAATCATATTGCGTACACGAATACAGGTAATTCTAAACATATTAAAATCCACATCTTAGTTGTTGTCGTTTCCCCCCCCNCCCCTTTAAATTCCTCAAGCCGTAGTTTCATGCCTTTTGTTCGAAATTTTCACGTGAATTACTCAACTTTATTGTGAAAACGAGTAAGATAAATCTAAAATGTTATTTAATGAATTTAAATATATATTTGTATAGATGATGATCAGGACTCACATTATACAACATATCTTGCAATCAGGAATAAGCATTTTTTAAATCGTTGAAGAGAAGTATGTTTCTTTTTCTGAACGCCTAATATCCATCTACCAATCATTAACTTCTTAATTAATCAAAGACATTTTAGAGGAATATTAAGAGACGCCAAAAAATGTCAACTGTTACTTTGAATGACCACCGCCAGTATAATTAATGACATTAAATGTGGCGTTGCTTCATCAAGATTGTTTGCAACCTTTGTTTGACCTAAAATGCCCTGTAGAGACAAATCGACCGGAAAGACAAGGCTGATTGAATCCCTGAATGTTATGATGAGACCAGAGGTAAATTATTCAGGTACCGGTCAGCCCCTTCCGTCTCCCCCTGATACTACAGGTACCGGTCAACCCCCCCCCCCACTCCCGTCTCCCCCTGATCCTCAACGGTTTACAACGTTTTCTTATACACAGGGCCGGGTGCATATTTTAAGAAATAAAAAGAATATAAAATTGGATTTAAAAGCAAATCTTTTTACCCAAAAATTCTTAGAGTTTTCCTTAAAAATCATTTATTTGCCCTAATTCAGCGAATAAACCCCTAAAAATCGCAAGCATATAGAACTTTAGGGGAAAAAAGTATTTTCAAAAGAGAGAGAGAGGGCGTAGAAAAATGATTTTTTCGAGAGAATATACACCCCTGCTTATTCTTCAAGTTGATCAACATGCAAGACAGACCCAAATCAGTAAGCGCTTATTTTTTTAAAAATATTGAACTTAGAATTTTTATTTTTATTCTGAAAATCAGATCTTCGTCAATATAAAATTCAAGGTATTAAATTCGTGATATCACAATGTTAATATGTCATACGAAATGATATAAGTTGCAAAAAGAAAATCTAGGAGATAGGTAGATAGATAGATAAACAATAAAAAACACGAAAATTCATAGGCGAACCACTGCTAAAAAAAAGAATTTTTCAGTTTTTACTGACTTTGTGCATTGTAGTTGTATAGAGAAATCTGCATAATAGAATTCCTTTTGTGTTCTTAGGCAGTAGGATTATACCTTGCTAACTCTGAAGTACATAGTTCATGTACGACGAACATGAACTATGTAAATTTAGTACATACATACACTCATACATACATAACATAAATTTGTTATAGGTTGTTGCTCCGAGGTCGACGAACCCCCTTCTCTTGAAGACCGAGGTCAAAGAGGTTAACTCGGAGGATAGGATAGAGACTAATAAACAACTTATCAAATCATTCGGTCAAAGGTACAGTTTGGACCATCACCATATCTTATCGGATTGCGCTTAGTTATATTAAAGGGACTGTAAGCGTAATTTCAAGTGACCCTCCAGTCTAAGAGGGCAATGCCCGATTTACAACGGTACCCTTTAAATAATTTGACTGATCATCGAGGGTAGAGAGCTCAGTGTATTTATCTCTGGAAATGTTTTTAAATTGCAGTAAACCTGGAGTGTATGCTAGCGGACAGTGGGAACTTAACACTTAGTATTCATAAATCCAGAATATTCTCTTTCTAATGCGGTTTTTAACAATTTGGATAAAATTATTTTGAATATATACCGTGACTCTGATAACGCCATTCCTTAAGGCTGTACCCCTCATAACAGATATGTGGCCGGGCTGGTTCAGGATTGATCTTATCGGTACTGATCGGACGCTACCTGTAGGCGTCCTGGGTTGCCCAAGCTGGGGATTCTTGCAGATCTCATCTCTATTAGATAACAGCTCATAAACCAAGTGTTCAACATTTATGACCGTTTCTGTAGATAAAAAGAGCAAGTCCGATATCATTGACCAGTCAAATGTTTAAACTGTTGTGAAACGGACACGACGCTCTACAAAGAAAGGGCCACTTGAAATTACGCTTACTGTCCTTTAAATAGAGATTATAATGATATTTAAAATAGTTTTTAGCAATAAGTTAATATTTTTTCCCGACAGATATTTATTGTATTTTGTACTCTTTCCAACGAAATCATGTTTTGAAATTATGTAGACTAGAAATTCACATTGGAGGGATTTATTTTGTTAAAAAGTAGTCTTGACTTATCATATATGAATCGGCCTTTTTTTAGACATCAAGATGTTCGATAAAAAACATGCCGTGTTTATTGGTAGTTGCTAAATACGGCTTAACCAAATAATCAATCCTTTTGACCGTGATTTGGAAAAATTATTATGAAGAAATACAAATATAATTTTTAAAATAATGATAAATGGTAAAATTATATAAAAGGGAAAGGTGTAAATATTTAGGAGCTCACTTTCATATTTTAATGCAATATGTAATAATTTTAGACTTGTTGATAATAAATTCTTATCTAGGAAGGGTCAGCGATATTACGAGTTGAAGGAGCTCAACACGGAAAGATTTCATTTCATCACAAAATTATAAAAATCAAACCAAAAAAACCATATTGTAATAATTCCATCGGAAAAATATTTATATCATATTACACTCTCACTTAAACTCAACTCTAATCGTTTCAACAAAAATTTATACAAACAAAGTATACTTGTGTCCTCAATAATTCCATTGCAAAACAATTCAAACCAAAAGCACATTTTCTTCTAACACAATACACATGTAATAGGAAAAAAAATGCCCGATCACATTATTTTCGCGCAAAATTTTTTACAGGAACTAACCGTATGCGGTATTTTAAACGACCCTCACTGCAAAGATGGCATTGTCCGATTCACAACGGTACCCTTGAAACCTTTACTTTATCATTAACATAGAAATAAATGTCGTTTTTCTAGTTTTAACATGATTTAATTTTTATTGTTCCTATACAATTTCCTGCAGTTGAAATGCGCAAGTCACTTCTGTAGAGAAACCTCACTTAGTTAATTTACATATAACTAGCTGAAAGGCCCGGCGTTATCTATGAAAAAAAAATTGAAGAAAAAAGTTTTTAGCCTATGTCACCCCCAGGCTACCTATGAGTGTCCAGAAAAAATTTCAGTCCATTCGGTCCAGCCGTTTGGCCAGAGGGAACATATATATGAATGTCTTGATTTATTATATAGATTGATATTTAATTCACACTTGAAAAGACAAAAATTTTTAGGGTACCGTTGTGAATCGGGCATTACCATATTTGCATGGAGGGTCACTTTAAGTTACGCTTACAGCCCCTTTAAACCCAAAGTATACTCCATACATCAAAATACTAAAAAATATTTGAAATGAATTGAACTGATGAAGGTTGATGCAGAGGATACTGAAGCTAGGGTACTCAAAGCTGCAGGTACTGATCAATTTAATGATTGATTTATTGATTACTTGATTACTTGATTGATTGCTTATAAGATAGAATTTGATTTGATTGATTGATGGATTGATTGATTGCTAAAACAAAAGAATTTGATTGATTGATAATAAGAAAAAAAATCGTCCCAGTTTTAAATTATATGAACCGCATTATAAAGTATGATTGAACTGATAACTGGTTTTATAAGTCAAATGTCAAAAATACTATGTATATTTTGATATTAGGTGTCGTTGATGCTGGTGCTGTTACAACACCTGTTATCGAAGCAAAGACGACATTAAGTCTCGTCCCTCCTAGAGACGAAGATGCTGGCAGAGCAGATATGATTTACAGGTTAAGCAAATTATAATTTACATCTTCAGTACAGGATCGATCTTTAATTTCCATGTTGTTCTATAATCAGTTTAATCTAAAGTAAAGTGTAAAGAAGTGAAGCAAAAAATAGGAAATTTTGATTTCTCAATGAATGTGTTGGAGGAGGGGGAAGACGACCCGCGCCCGTTTAACCTCCGACCCGCAGATGAAGTCACAAAACGGGATTTGCGGCGTGCGCTTACCTTTATGCCGTCCGACCCTCACCCGTTTTGCCCTACGTCAATATTTCTTAATTTGTATATACTAATTATAGACGAATGCAGCATTAATTTAATTTTATAAAGACGTCATGGCATCTATCATATAATAAACTTAATCATCATATTTTTGTTTGTTTGTAACAGTAGCACATACGATAGTTTTAAAATCAAACAACATTTTGTGTAATCACTCGAGGTTGCTTATTTGTAGAAGGAGTGGACGGATCAGATAGACCAATGTATTTGTTTAGGGTTGAACACATACTTACTGAGAGAGAGGTACAGGAGTTGATAACAGCATGTGGTAAAATAGTAGAGAAGTACAGTAGCGATAAGGTAACATAAACACAGTTACACGTTCACGTTATTGTGTACAATATACAGCAAGTCTAAACTTTGTGTACAATGTACATTGTACAATAGTTGCATTTTAATGAAATAACTATTGAATGGAAAGTTTAAAAAAAATATTTCAGGCTTTTGATAAAGGTGTTGAAGAAAAGATTTTTTCTCCCATAGGTGCTATCTTTTTGAAAAAGCTGCTCAAGAATCCTGGTAAATATTTATTTTATATAAAAATATTTCTTACTTCAATTAAAGTTCAAAATTTGAAATTAAGACAATAATAATAATTTGTTTTAGGTGAATTTGATCACACTTCCGCACTTTCGCTTTATCTTGATGCTATAGTCAAGTTCACCAAGATGAAGCCTGCAGATCTTAAAAAGGTTTTTTTTTAAATTTCATTAGTTAAGGTGAAAAACTTTCTGTCATCAGGGTTAAATATTATCCAGCATCAGGGTTGAATATTCTCCATTTTCAGGGTTAGATATTCTCCACTATCAGGGTTAGATTTTTTCCATTATCAGGTTTAAAATTCTCCATCATCAGGGTTAGATATTTCCATTATCAGGGTTATATATTCTCCATTATCAGGGTTAAGTATTCTCCATTAATTGTGAATCAGGATCGAATGAATCAGGATCGAATATTCTCCGTATTTAGGGATTTATATTTGTCATAATTTAGGGCTTAATATTCTTCGTTATCACAGTTAAATGTTCTTTTTAATCAGGGTCTAATAGTCTACATAGTACATAATCTAGGGATAATATGTAAAAAATATCAGATGAGCTTGGGTTTTACTTTCGATAAATGAGTGTTCAAGATGTCTTAGATTTCCAGTGAGGGACTCAATGATAAAAAATGGACTGAGATAAAATAGAATTTAAATTGATTTCTCGTGAGAAAACTAATGTGTAATGAAGAACTGGTGCGTTAAATAATAAAAGAATTGATATTAACAAAAAACCTACAATTAGGGGTTGCACAGTTTACCACCTCATCTTCCTTTGATGATAAAGAAGAAGATATTTGACCAGTTTAGTACTGGACCAGAGAAGAAAAGGTATATTTTAACAAATTAAACCATTAAAAAAAATTTGTTTTGATGATTTTTAATAAGCCAAAATATTTTGGATCCGAATCCTTAGCACTGCTTGTTTGTTAAAAAGATATAACATGTTCTACATATTTAACGTTGATAGAATTCGCAGTACTTAGGCTCCATATCTTTTTGATGCAGAATTGGAATCTGGATCCGGGATGAAAAAATGGATCCGGATGCAGCTTTTAAATATTTATTCAAGTTTTACAACAAAAGAATTATGTTCGAAATGATATTTTTCTCTCTTTGATATTTTTTAATAAACTTTATTTCCGATTGAGATGTCATGGGATGATTACAAATTTTTCATTCAAACAGTTGAGTTATTTTTTAAATACTTTGGTTGATTTTGTCCCTAGGATCGGCTCAGTAACATTAGATATAATTACAAAAGTTATAATTATAAAATATATATTAATAAAACATATAATTACAAAACATATAACTTACAAAATATTTATAAAGTTACAAATGATATAAGTTTCAAAAGATGTAATTACAAAAACTATAAAAGGAGAAAATTACCAACAGTTTGTTCATTTGAAAATTTTAGTTTGACTATTTTTAGGTCCTTTGAACTATTTTTATGTTCATTTTAACAAGAAATTATATTATAACAGGGTTAGGTTAGGTTAGGACAGTTTCTGGGCCGAGCTCTGCTGCTAGGACAGGCTAGGGGGCCGAGCACTGTGGCTAGGAGTTCAAATGAACATAAAAATAGTTCAACTGAACCACAATTGAACTATTTTCTGGTTCATTTGAACTATTTTTGTGTTTAAATACAATGGAATATGAGCTAATTAGATCATTTTGTATAATTTGTAACATTTGCCTTTCTACAGATTGAGTAATTATATCTTTTGTAACTTATATCTTTATGTTACTTATATAATATGTAATTGAATGTTTTGTTATTATATATTTTGTAATTATATCTTATGTTACTGAGCCCTTGGATCCGCATTTCTCCGAATCCATTTTGATACCCTGGATAACCATTTGTTCGTTAGATTTATTAGACCTGAACTGAAGGATAAGACAGTGTACTACAGTATATATGTTTAGATTTATTAGTCCTGAACTGAAGGATAAGGCAGTATACTACAGTATTGATGTTTAGATTTATTAATCCTGAACTGACGGATAAGTCAGTACACTACAGTATAGATGTTTAGGTTTATTAGTCCTGCACTGAAGGATAAGGCAGTATACTACAGTATAGATGTTTAGGTTTATTAGTCCTGAACTGAAGGATAAGGCAGTATACTACAGTATAGATGTTTAGGTTTATTAGTCCTGAACTGAAGGATAAGGTATTATGCTACAGTATAGATGTTTAGGTTTATTAGTCCTGAACTGAAGGATAAGGCAGTATGCTACAGTATAGTAATTGCTCTAATGCTCAATAACTGCAAGATAGAGGTTTCCCACATCACTGAGTCGGTGAGTAAACTGAGCAGGGTACTTTTAAATGAACAGAATGAGTTTAACGATGGGCGGATTATTGGTAACTAATATTTTGGTAACCTAACAATTTGGTAACTTGACAATTTGGTAACCAACAATTTGGTAACCAACAATTTGGTAATTTGACAATTTGGTAATTTGACAATTTGGTAACCTGACAATTTGGTAACCAACAGTTTGGTAACTTGACAATTTGGTAACCTGACAATTTGGTAACTTGACAATTTGTTAACTTGACAATTTGTTAACTAACAATTTGTATAATTGAAACATTGTTTGCATATTTATTTGTTGAATACATTGAGAAAAAAAAACAATATACAGGATTTCTTAAAAGTTTAGTATGACAAATCTGCTAAAACTGTTTGTAAACCTCGCAATCTCTTATCTCAAAATGGCAGGGTACGAGTTTCTGCGAACATCGAGGGGAGGTGTAATTCTGCAGGATTCTCAACAATTTCAGTATTACATGAAAAAAAAAATACACCGGACTATAGTCTTTTCGTTTGTAAGAGATATAAAAAGGAGGACGAAGGAAGTCCTGCTATAGTTCATCACTTAAAGGTTCCTTGTTCCTTTGAACAAACTGGTATTCATAATCATAATAATGTAGCGGACAGCACTAAAACCTGGTGAATCATAAAACTTTTAATAGTCTTGCTTAATTGTGAAGTTACCAAATTGTTGAATACCAAATTATCAAGTTACCAAATAAATTGTTAGGTTACCAAATTGTCAAGTTACCAAATTATTAGTTACCCAATCATTAGTTACCAAATTGTCAAGTTACCAAATTGTCAAGTTACCAAATTGTCAAGTTACCAAATTGTCAAGTTACCAAATTGTTAGTTACAAAATTGTCAAGTTACCAAAATATTAGTTACCAAATTGTTAGTTACCAAAATGTAAGTTACCAAATTATTAGTTACCAATAATCCGCCCATCGAGTTTAACTCGATCTGAATTTTTTGGAAAACCATACTATATCCCCACGAAATTCTAAGATTTTTTTCTAAAATTATTACACATTGAATCCGTTTACTTATGAATAAACATCCGAAAGCGGTTCAGAGTCTGTTAAATTGTGTGGGGGGGGGGGGGTTCTTGAAAAATTATTCCCCCATCCCCATTTTGGAAATCACTTAATTCCCCATAAGCAATGAATGTTCGCAACAAAAAATCGCTGAAGTGAAAAAATAAATCAATTTTTGGGTATCGGAAATGAGATGGAACCTGTATTTTGATGCACCATTTTTCCTTTTTTCCTTAAGTCTTCAAAAATCAGTTTTCTTTATAATATACAGTCTAGACCCCTGAAGTAAAGTTACGATGAATGTTGTATTATAGCTCCGGATAGAGACTAGGAACTTAAAGAAGCTGGTTCTACTGACCGGAGCTAGTCTTGAGCTAGACTCAGATTCTCACCAGCAGAAGATTATTCTTAGGTTACAAACTTTCTATTAATCAAACCCAGTAGGATCAGATCAAGTAATTAAGTTTTTGTGGAAAATTGCTATTTTGGGGAGAAAGTGAGAATTCAAGGGTTAAAAATTATGCAAGTCGAATGTTGATAAAACTTATCTTTTGAAACCTTTCTAAAGGACTTCTCTTAAATATATGGGGGGGGGGGGAATAAAATATGCACGGATTAGAATAAGTTAAATGTAAAAAATTCAAAAAGTATTAAATATGATGGGTTTGTGAATATAATATATTGAACTAAAGAAAATATATGAATGAAAATTGACATAAAACTCCATTTTTATTTTAGGAAAACCTTGACCTCCTTCGATGTGAACTATGTAGCCAAGAAGAGAAAATAATGAGGTTTAATTTATAGAAATTTTTTTATCTCCCTTTTCATTCAGAGGATGTTTCAGACAATATGGAGGACATAGTAGAGGACTGTAGAGGAGCATTTAACCTCGGTATCACAAGGCCGCTGCAATGGAGGTTCTTTTTGTGGGGGTTAAATAAGTTTTGGCAAAAAAAAGGGGGAAATTATTTAGCTCTTTATGGGAATATTGTTGTGTTAGTGAAATTTCAAGTGACCCACCATTAAAACAGGACCAATTCCGATTTACAACGGTACACTTTAAACCTTAATTGCGGAAGATATTGTTTAGAAAAGTGTTTAATTCTCACGATTTCCTCCGCTGTTTCCGTAGATATAAATTCATAAATCACTTTTTTAAAGAAAAAATTAAAAATAACCAAAAGAAATAATTAATATTTCATTCATTCTTGGATCAGACGGAGCTTTTAAGCTTACGCTGTGAATGGGACATGCATCTTTGTAAATTCGGGGTCACTTGAAATTACATCTACAATCTCTTCAACTCTTTTTACCAACTTCTCAAATTTTTTTTCTTTCGAAAAATCGCATATTGCATAAGCTTTTATCTATTTATTTTATCCAGGATGATTCAACTGAAAAATCTGCTGCGAATGTTGGATGAAAAGAGTTCCATCTTTGCTGCTGCTCTAGCCAAGGTATCAAAAATAATATCTAGGAAAATAATTTGAACTTTAATATTTTGACATATTACATATCCTCTTCAATTCTATAGAAAATACAAAAAAATGAGAATGAACCTCATGGAAAATAATTTAAATATAAATAGAATTTCAAGGATTTTTCTTAGAAAAAATTTATTGTCTGCAATAAACGTAATAATGATAATACAGAATTATCGAATCGATTTAAGGAGTAATTTCTGTTTTGTTTTTATGAAGGATCTTCGGAAACCGAATCAAGAAGCACTGTGTCTAGAAGTTGATTATTTGAAGAATGATGTCAGGAATAAATTCAAGATTTATGCAATACTATTTTTTTACATTATGATTTGTAGATATTGGATTTTATCCAGATCTTGAGCTTTTTAAAGTTGTAGAAGATCTTGAATTCTTAATTTCAGAGGGTGTATCAACAATATTGGGGACTGGACACAGGCACGGAATCCAGAATATTTATATATATAATTATATGTAATACATATACTTAATATCTTTCTTAATAAGAAAAAGATGATTTTATAGACATTAGAAAATAACTAAGGAAAAAAAAAATAGAAAAAACGTATCACTTGAAATGTGAAAATCATTTAAAAAGAGGAATGCAGATCAAAAACATGGAAATTAAAAATGTTTTGTAAATTTCTGGATTTATGTCAGGATAACTACGTTGAGAAGAATATTTTGACTCTGTTGGATCAAACATTAGTCCATTATGATCCTCTTGGAGTAGTTCTTATCATGGGAGCTTGGAACTATCCTTTACAGCTCTCCCTAGCTCCACTAGCAGGTAGATACAGCTCTCCCTAGCTCCACTAGTAGGTAGATACAGCTCTCCCTAGCTTCACTAGCAGGTAGATACAGCTCTCCCCAGCTCCACTAGTAGGTAGATACAGCTCTCCCTAGCTCCACTAGTAGGTAGATCAGCTCGCCCTTGCTCCACTAGCAGGTAGATACATCTCTCCCTAGCTCCACTAGTAGGTAGATACAGCTCTTCCTAGCTCCACTAGCAGGTAGATACAGCTCACCCCAGCTCCACTAGCAGGTAGATACAGCTCTTCCTAGCTCCACTAGTAGGTAGACACAGCTCTCCCCAGCTCCACTAGTAGGTAGATACATCTCTCCCTAGCTCCACTAGTAGGTAAATACAGCTCTCCCTAGTTCTACTAGTAGTTAGATACAGCTCTCCCTGGCTCCACTAGTAGGTAGATACAGCTCTCCCTAGCTCTACTAGTAGGTAGATATAGCTCTCCCTAGCTCCACTAGTAGGTAGATACAGCTCTTTCTAGCTCCACTAGCAGGTAGATACAGCTCTCCCTAGCTCCACTAGTAGGTAGATACAGCTCTCCCTATCTCTACTAGTAGGTAGATACAGCTCTCCCTAGCTCCATTAGTAGGTAGATACATCTCTCCCTAGCTCCATTAGTAGGTAGATACAGCTCTCCCTAGCTCCATTAGTAGGTAGATACATCTCTCCCTAGCTCTATTAGTAGGTAGATACAGCTCTCCCTAGCTCTACTAGTAGGTAGATATAGCTCTCCCTAGCTCCTAGTAGGTAGATACAGCTCTCCCTAGCTCTACTAGTAGGTAGATATAGCTCTCCCTAGCTCCATTAGAGGGTCATCCAAGTTTAATTAGCAGTAAAATTTTAAGTAAATGAAATAGAAAAGGACACTAAAAAAAAGCTGATGGTATGATGGAATGTTTCCATACCAACTCACAATTTTTTTGGTTATGGATGGAAAAATCATTTTGAAAACTGTCTAGGTGCGATATCTGCCGGAAACTGTGTCATCATAAAACCATCAGAGGTACAAAAAAATCAAATTTTTACTTTTTATTTCAAACATTTCAAACTTATTTTTTTCCAATATCAGAGTCTTTGAAGCCAGCTCGTGATACACATTTTTTTTAAATTTATTTCTTTTTGCTTATTTACTACTTTATCTGCAATATCCGCCAATTAAGCCCTTATACCCGGCATAAATCGGGTAGGTGTGGAAGTTACCTGAATGCGTAACTAGCACAACTAAATTACTATTACTATTGTATATTTTATTTTAAATGATAAAAACATTGCCGAATGTAAAGTGTATGAAGGGGAGGAAGGCCAACCACTACAATTCCTAGTCCGAGCCACATTCTCCTTATTTTCTCGTCTGAGCCACCTCGAAATTCTCGTCCTTTCAAAAATATTTTTTATAAGTGTCCAATCTTTGAAGATAATAATATTTTTTGAAAATCTGTCCAGTCCACGTTAAGGAATAAATGAAATATTTTCTCTAACAAATTTTAAATTTGTGAAAATATGTATATGCTCCAAAACGATGTTCTACAAATAAGCATCTGTCTGCAGAAGCCCTTTTCCGCGTAGAATCCCGCAAATTATTATTAAATTCAATCAAAACAACTATTTCTATTCTTACACTTAATTTTCGCCCCCATTTCCTTAATGATTTAAATACTGTTTGAATTGTGACGGATAAATTGTAGCAAATGATTTAGATTATTTAAATTAAACATTACTGTCAGAAGTGATCTTGTAAATATATCAGAAATCAATGGTTTTTTTCATATGGGTTGAAATGGAAAGATTAAAGACCATGTTTAAGTTAATACTTTGATATAATTATTGAATTATGAAAGTTAGTCATTTTGGAGGCAGAAGAGGTTTAAGTTTGAACCTAAATAAAGTTTATAGACATCCTTCTCGTGGATTTAAAGATTCTAATATTTTAAAATCATTAAATAACTTTAGTCGAACCATGTTTTATGCCCTAATCTTCCGGGTTAAAACTTAGTTCCTGCTTCAGTACGCACTTTATTGAACTTGGTTCATACATCCTACAGGATCTGTATTATTGATAAATAGACAACAGATTAATGATGTTATTTTTCAAGCTTCCTTTTGTTTTAGTTGGCCCCAGAGACAGCTAAGGCTATTGCAGACTTAATTCCTCAATACCTGGACCCTCATTGTTTCAAGGTCAGATTATTGGCATGAGAGGTCACAGGGCATATTCGTAGAGGGCATGACTTACACAACACACTTAGAGCTTATGTCCTTGTGACATTCTTGGAACTTGTTGACAGTTTTGAAGGTTATGTTCTTGGTTATAATTTTTCTTCAACAACATATTTTGAACATTACATTTGAAGTTATAGTTTTTGACTCTTGTCTTACACGTTTGAATTTTAGTCATATTCTTAGATCTCTTAATCTTGATATTCCTTTTCTTGGTTACAACTTCTTTATTTTTTTATTCTTGAAAATGTTTACTTCAATGAATTATTCTTTGGTCGTAATCTTGAATTGCTTGCTCTTGGCTATATCCTTAAGTCACTTGCTATCAGTATTTTTTTTGTCGCATTTTCCCGAGATTCTAAGATAATTTACTGAAGGTAGTAACTGGAGGAATACCAGAAACAACGGAACTATTGGAGCTAAGATTCGACTACATATTCTTCACTGGCAGTTCGACAGTAGGTAAGTCATTGATAGTAATTTATTTTTTCATTGGATTTCTGGATCCACGGATCCAGATCCTGTGACACTAGTTCAACCTCAATATCAAAAAAAACTTTTTGCTTTCAAACCACACTTTTTAGTGTCACCCTACAGGATATTGTTAAAACCTTCCGGATAATCGAAGTGTAAATCGAGTTTCTGAGCTTAAACAAAGAGATAACAATATTCATGAGCTGGATCAAGATCTATTTTTTACAATATTGATCCAGGATCAGGATTCTTATCAAAATGGAATGAATTTAAACCAATGTATTAAATAATGAAAAAATGTTTCAGGGAAGATTGTCCGTGAAGCGGCAAATAAACATCTAACACCGGTTACTCTAGAACTTGGTAATTATTCCTTTAGTTAATGGAAAGGACAATGCACGGTTAAGAAAAGAGATTAAAAAAATATAAATCGTGTTTTCATACAAATGACAAAAATTGATTATGTTTTTTTTTAATTTCTCGTTTAAATTTCTTGAATTTCTAGATTTTTTATTACAAAATGTGTTAAGGTGGAAAGAGTCCTGTTTATATCTGCGATAGTGCTGATGTGGAGAAAACTGCTAAAAGGAAGGAACCCCGGGATCAACAATAATTGAAAAAAATAAAAACCATTGAAATTCTGACGATCGTCATCATTTTAATTATTTATTTACTCTTACAATTGAACCTCTTGGTCCTGTTAGGTTAGTTTGGGCAAAGTTGATAAATCTCGGGCAAACCTGTATTGCTCCTGATTACGTTCTTTGCTCTAAAGCTATGGAGCAAAAATTTATTTCAAAGGTATACATTTTCTCTTGCTTATCTCCTTAAAGACTTATATTTTCAATTTTTAGTATCTCTTCCTTTGGAGCAAAATTAGAGATTTTAGGCAATTTACTCTAATCTTTTAATTAACATCTAAGAAACGATCGTAGAGATATGCTTGTGACTGGTTTCTATTTTAGAATTGCTAGTTTTAGTCCTTTTTCAATTTGGGCTTTACTTTAGAATTCCACTTTTCAAAGTGACTTTAAGCTAAAGCTGCTGTATGAAGTGTTCAATTTTCATGCAAAAAACAAGAACCGAAAAACCATTACATTTTCTTTATTGATAAAAATCGAAAACAAAGCAGTTCCAGAAATGGAACTGCTTCGGGGAGACCGACTGGTATCGAGATAGTTTCCCAAATTCACCTGGTTAAGTTTCGGCGGCTAGGAGCGCCGACCCTTATTTCACCGAATGCAGGGTTGTCCGTTAATAATAATAATAATAATGTAGATTTTTTTATTGTTCGCGGCACTTTAAAAATGAAGCACCTGTACCTAATAATTAGGTTTTTGCTTTTTTCAAAGGCAGCAGAAATTCCTAACGTTACAAAAATATTTGTTTGCCCAGGCACAGGAACTGGTGAAAGAATGGTATGGTGAGGACCCACAGAAAAGTTCCAACCTTTGCAGAATTGTCAACAGGAGCATAAACATTAACAATATTAAAATCCACCCAAGTTGCCTTTCTTCATTCCATACTTTTAAAATGAATTGTTCTTTTTGTTCCATTCGGTTGAGTCGTTTGACTAGAATCGGTTCTAAAATAATTTCTGTAAATTGTTTTTGTGTGTAGGCGTAATTTTGATCGATTGGCTGATATTCTAAAGAACACCAAGTAGGAATTTTGTATTATTTTAATAAATATCTTTGGTCATCTAGGTCATCTCAAAACTGCTGGCATCTGTCCTGTAAAATTTGTCGGAGCCATGGATAAATGACTATCTGTTCATTCGCCGACGTTCTGGTTCTTCAAGAGGGGGGGGGGTGCTTTCTAATCTTGTCTAGTATACAGTGATAACCAGAAAACAATGGAATAGGAAGACGACATAACAATACTGAAGTGTAATTGAGGGTGTTAGAAAGCAAATAGTTTTACCAAACATTTATAAAAAATTACTTTTTTGTGAAATGGGTCTGTCTACATTGCACAATTGTTGTGTTTCATGGTTAATGAACTTTTAAAACTTGATTCTCAAAGTCGTCATACTATTCCAGAGTTTTCTGGTTGTCACTGTAATTTGTACTGAACCATCTATTATTACAGAGGAACTGTAATAGGAGGAAGGATGGATAAAGATGATTTATTTATTAAACCAACTATTATTACAAGGGAACTGTACTAGGAGGAAGGATAGATAAAGATGATCTACTTTTAAACCATCTATTATTACAGGGGAACTGTAATAGGAGGAAGGATGGATAAAGATGATCTATTTATCGAACCAACCATGATAACAGGGATTGACGCCCAGGTAGAATACGCTGTCTGTCTTATCCTTTCCTTCTATTTCCCATTCTATCCATCATTTGACTCTGTCCAAACACAATATGTATCGTCTTCTTCGCTGTGTTCGTCCTTATCCTGCTCCATTTTCTTCCTTCTCTTTTCATTTTTAACCCGCTCCAACCTCCTTTTTCATGATATCCATTAATACTTCCTCCCTCATTCCTTCCTTTACCGCCTTTCTCATAACCCCTCATCATTTTCTTATCATATGTTCCATTCCATATTGCTCTAACTTGCACTCCTCTCTTTACCACTATTTGTCTTGCTACCTATTCTTTTATACAATGTTCTTAACTTCTCATCGTGTTAAATGATAGTTTTAGCTTTGATTTCAATCACTGAGATAGATAATTTAGTACAGAAACGTGATAGAAAAAGAGGAATTTTCCTGAACAAAAACGCAAGCACTAAACATGTAAAAAAATGTGTTCAGGATTCGACAATGCAAGTTGAACTGTTCGGGCCTATTATGCCTTTCATAACGGTCAAAAACAAGGTAAAGTAGACTTTGATATTAGTTTACGGGTTCATTGATGGATTGTGGAGATCTATTATGAATTAAATTAATTTTTTTCAATATTTTTATTTTGAATTTTGATTATGTTTTAGTTTTACTTTTTTCCATTTGATCAATTAATTAGATAGCTTTTCATTTTTTAGAAAAAGAATTTGATTGATTAATTGATTAATTGATTGATTATGTTCAGGAGGAAGCTGTTGAGTTTATAAATGCTCGGGATAAACCTCTGAGTCTCTACGTGTTCACAAACAACAAGGAACCTAGATTAGCCTTCAAAACTTTTTTATTAAAACTGCAACAAACATTTTTCAATTATGTTTTTTTTCAAATAATGATAAAAATATATAACTTTTTGAAAAACTTCCAAAGTATATTAAGTTTGTTTGAAAAAAATTATATTTTTGACGATCTGTTAAACGGAAACTTTAGATTTTTTATCCATTTTGTGTTTGCGCCCTGCGTGTAGGATTGAAACTTTAAAATAAGAACGCGGCAAAAAAATGAGAATTTGATAAGTTGATTGCTTACTCTGAATCACCAGGATGTATCTGCTCTGTTTAAAGAGAAAACGAGTAGTGGAAGTATGGTGATTAACGATGCCATAGTTCATCTCTCTGTAGATACCCTACCGTTCGGGGGTGTGGGACCTAGGAATGTTCAAGAAAGAGTAAAGAATAAGTTGAATCTTCTTTCATAAGTTGAAATTATACCAATTGATTGACATGGGAAGTGATAGAGTGTCGTTGTTAAAGTTAACACCCCCCCCCCATATTTTCCTTTGAGCTTCTTTCTTTTCAAATAGTTTGTTTTGTTCATCTCTGTACTGTAATAATTTTCTCCTAGATTTTCTGAAGATTGTGTTTAAAAGATAAACCCTAGCCTATGTAGCAAGTTCTGAATATAATCCCTAGTATTTCTTGAATTGGATTGAACTCTAGTGGGATGGGATCCTACCACGGGAAGTTCACTTTCCTCACCTTCTCCCACCAGAAATCAGTTTTAGTCAGAGATTTCAGCGGATTTGGTAATTTTTGATTTTTCGAAATTTTCAAAATTATTTTATTCAATATTCTCTATTAGTTTTCTGTTTTCCAATTTGGTTTCTGATTCGTGTCATTATTTGATCTTTTCTAATTTTCTACTTAACCAAGGTGAGATGCTTGGAGCTAGTAGGTATCCACCATACTCCGACAACAAGATCAAAACCCTCGGGTTTCTTGTCAAGAACAGGTTAGTGCTCATTTATAATCTTGGTGTTATATATAATTAAAGGATTATCGACGAAATGTCGAGTAATCCTAAAAGGAAAAAGGCTAATGTCCATTCAACGGTACCCCTGACTTCCTTTAGTCATATTCAATGCATACGCGCAAGCGCGATGGGGGTGGGGGGGGGGGGTAAGTTGTAGCGACTCAACACCTTGTTCAAATGGAAATGATAAATTTTTTATCAAATTATATATTTAACCTACGCTAAATGTCAATTTTTATTTTAATTGTTTATTTGCAGGAAGATTCCTGGTTTTGTGAAATGGGTTCCCTATCTCTCCTGTTTTCTAGCTGGTGGGGCAGCCGCAGTAATGTACAAGTACATGGCGAACATGTACAATTTGGATATGCCGGATTGGTTCTAGTTCATCGAAATGAACAATGAACATTAGACTAAACATCATTGGACTGTACTTTGTTGTACTGTGCGATGTAATTAATCAAAACTGAATTATGGGTTATAATAGCAACATTAATGTATACGTAAATACCAAATATGTTTAATGTTATATAATAACAATTTTTGCCATTCTTCTGATAATGATTATGCCACATTTTAAATCAAAATCCTACTGACACAGATATATTTTTTACCAAATCATATATATTTTTTAAAGGAAATTTTTTAGATTTCTGCCAAATACTGTCAGCTTTAGTTATTTCTAATCTATATTAACCACTCGTTTTTGCATGTGTTGTACCAAAAATGCAGGTTCTGAGACTGCAGCTTTTGTAATGACTGAACTAATCTTTTCGAATAAAGTTCAACTCTTCAATTTTGACAGTTAATATAATTTGAATCGATCTAGTTTAAACAGTTTCTTCCATTCAACAGTTGCCAGCTGAGGACAAAAACTAGTTGACTCAACTCAATTTGTTGAAATTTGACATTTCTGAAAATCAACAATTTCTCATTAAAGATCTGTTTTTATCCATCTTGAAGATCATGAACATAAACCATGAATTTGTAAAAATTAAATTTTTTTTAAGTGGAAAATTTATTCTAAACACCTGGTAGTAGATCTTCTGTTATTAATTGATTTATAAATCTGTACTTTATATTATTTTACTAAAAGTATCCTGCCTTATATTTTAATCACATTTATACGTTTGACCGAGTTTATAAATTTGTATAATACGAATTGCTAAAAAAATCCTCATTTATATTCTATATATCTGCATATAAATTTTATGAAAGAGTTTTTATATTCAACATTTTTCAGATCTAGATTTATGTAAATTTGAAACATTAAAAAAAAAAATCACTTCTGCCGCAAAAGTTTTGCAAGTTTTCAACTCATTTTATTTTATTTTCTCTAAGCAAAATGATTGAAACAGACAGTAGTAAAAAGAAGAGCTCCTTGTGCAAACACTGGGCGGCAAAAGGTAAGAAATATATATTAAAATTAGAATTATTCCATGTTTTTACCGGGATAAACCTATCTTGCATGAGTAAATTTTTAAGTTTTGACCAACGATAGAAGAAGAACTAGGTAACCTTTTTTTTCATCTGTTGGTCACTTACACATTGATAAATGTTTTAATTTATTGATGAATTGATTGATTGATGGAGGGATTGATTATTGTTGAATTGGATGATTGGTGAATTGTTTGATTGATGAAATGATAAATTGATTGTTTGGTGAGTTGATTGACGAGTAGATTGGTTGGTTGATTAATTGATTGTATGATTTATTTCTGTGTTCAGGTCGATGTGACCGAGGTGATGCTTGTGAGTTTGCCCACGGTAAAGCTAACCTGGCGAACCCTGGGCAATCGAATTCGAAAACTATGATGTGTAGATATGTTCAATCCGGACAGTGTAAGGTAGGTTTAAATCTAAACTAGGAGCCAAGTATTGCTTCAAGGTTAAAATTCACACTCTCCGAAACACCGGTCTTTTGAATAACTAATATTAAAATGTTTTTAGAGTGGTGACGCCTGCAAGTTTGCTCATGATCCCAGTGAGATCAGGAAGAGTGTATTGGTCGGAGACAACTTTAAATCTGATATATACAAGGAAGGATTTCAGTCTAATTATTTTAGAATAAATAAATAATCATGATTTGGACATTACACACAATACACGTAGAGTTGGGCATCGTTTTTTCCCCTTTTTCAAACATTCCAAGATTTTGAGGCTTTCAGAAGACTTCACAAAATTTAGAAGTTTACTATATTTCAAAACTGTATTCTGGTTTACAATAACACTGAACGATTTTTTCGATCTCTTGTTAACGAACGATTGATTTTTACTTGTTTACTTGATGGATTATTCCCAGAGCTCCAGGTAGGAACATGAGGGGAATTTCGGTAGTAGGTTCATGTTGAATCTTGATATCTCTTTCCGAGCCCAAATTTTTGCATAATTTGATGAAAGAGAATGATTACGATTTCACAGTTTACGGGGATATTGATTAAAGAAGATATGTTGTAAAAGGGTAATTAAAGATTCTAATTATATCTGAACCCCCGAACAGATCACTCTGTGCAAAAACTTCGAGGCGAACGGATTCTGTAGTGTTGGGTTCAACTGCCTTTTTGCCCACGGAGAGGGGGAGCTGAGGTAAATAATAATATATAATTGACCTTCCAGTTTTAGACACTTATTATATAATTTTTTATAATCAAATAATTTCTGAATTTTAGAGTGATTTAAATCTCAATGTTTAAACTAAAAATTCCAACTATAAGAGTATTCTATCCTTGTTTATACTTATATACTTTTTAAACTCAAACTGTTCCATAAGATTGTCTGATTAAAGACTATAGCTACGTAATGTTTAAAAAACCAACACGAAGAGTTTAACTGAAACTTAAATATTTTAATTTACGCTAATATCTCTTGGAATTGTTTAGAGATATTTGATTTAAAATAATTCAACATTCTTTTTTTCATTACTCGAAAAACCAGAAACTCTTTGATTATAGACTCTACACTGTCTACAAAGACACGTTTTATTTGAATTTCCCTTTTCAAATTTGTTTTTAGTAAGTAAATGTTTGGTTATTTTTGCTTTAGTTCAGCTCCGAATTGAATTTTGATTTTTAATATTTTTGCGCTTAAGTTCATTAAGTCTTTCATACTTACATCCATCATTTCTATCATTCATTCATTGGTTCTCAGATTTTGTTGATTCATTACTTTATCCATGGATTAATAATTTTGAATTTCTCGACTAGGAGAAGCTTAGTGTCTAAGAAAGATCAGATGTGCAAGAACTGGGAGGATGGAAGCTGCAAGTTTGGAGACAAGTCAGTTTTATTTATTCATACAGGGGTGTATATTTTTCAGAATTACAGCTGCCATNGGGGTGCAAATGTCACTTCAAAAAGCAAGTTTTTTCATTCTTTTTGATAGTATTTACCCTAAAAATCATTTATTTTCCCCAATTGAGCGAAAAACCCCGCGCAGGGGGAAAATTATTTTTTAGGAAAATTTACACTCCTGTATTCATATTTAGTCGTTTAACATTTACAAAAATAAATATTGCTGGATATATTCTGTTCCTACGCCCATCAGCACTTCCCATGCCAATACAAACAACAGACACGATAGTAGCAGTACATTACACTGAACAGGGGTAAATCTGTCCGTCAAAACCAGGTCTCCGGAACTGAACCGGAGTTCTCATCAAGTTAACCATTCTGTCACTCCGTCTGAAAGCCTAAACATCAATTAGTCCGACTGGGGTTTGTTCTATCGATGAAAACGTATATACATTATTAATAACGAATAACCAATCAGAAAATGATTTTGATTAGATGTCTGTTTGCCCATGGAGAAGCAGAACTACAGAAGGTCACTGCGGACCAGGTTTAGATATTTTCCCAATCAACCTTTTCTTAAATGTCAATTCTATATTCAAATAATATTTAAAAATAGCTCTGTCAACTTTTTACCCCACCCCCCCTCCCCCCCTCTAAAAATTACAAATGTTGCGCTCCTGTTTAAAAAGACCTAAGCATATTCCTACATTTTATATTATAAATTTCATATTTCAGCTGAAGGAAACCAATCCATTGTACAAAACCAAACTCTGTGCCAAATTCAAAGGAAATTGATTATTCAGTTAGATAAAAAACAATCCAATTAAATACATTTTCTTAAACATTTTGCAGATACTATTGTTGTATTGTTGAGTTTTTGTTAAATAATCGATTAATTAAACAGAAGACTCAATGTGCGAGCATGGAGACAAGGAAAGCCAGACAAATTTATTTTTATATAATTTCTAAAATGTATTTTTTATATTTTAGATAACGGCACTGACAAATTAGTTTTATTGGATTCGGAAGTTACAGTGTGCCATCAACGATTTATAACAGTAACCTTAAATCCTTAAAATTTCTGTAGAAATCCACGTCTAAATACTGAAAGTGAACGATTGGCGAATTATTGATGGCACTCCTGAAATGGATGTTGAATGTTCATTTTATTTGTTTCCATCTGTGGTCTGATACAGTAATCTTAAACCAAATCTTTTAAATTTCAAATAAGTTGTTCGCCCTCTCCCTCTCCTTTCAGTGTAGGATTGATTAACTGGCTGTTTGACCAGTGTATGTTTGCACATGGAGAAGATGAACTGATCAAGTTGGATGAAAATGCTACAGCTAAATTTAAGGTAGAAGACACCTTTTCAATTTACTTACGCAAAGATTGAGATAAAACGTTTTTGGATCTATTAAAAAATAAGTTTTCAAATCTTTATGTTGTCATCTGCATAATGAGTTGAACGGACATCTCTTTTGACTACAACATGCATTTATTAACTTTGAATCCAAATTATATAATTTTCTAGAAAATGAACTGTAAGAATATGGTGCGTGACGGACACTGCCAATTTGGAGACAATTGCTTCTACAACCACGGTAATAGTGGGTCCAGCAGCAGCAACAACAGCGGTCAGTTGACCGGCACCTTTAACCATGGAAACTATGGATATGGGTATGATGAGAATGGATATGATCCCAGTGGATACAACGCTAGCGGATACAATGCTAGTGGGGCCTATGCAGGAGCAGGACAGGGGTATGGAGGAGCAGGACAGGGGTATGGAGGAGCAGGACAAGGAGGATACGGAGGTTCAGTACAAGGAGGATACGGAGGTGCAGGACAAGGAGGATACGGAGGTTCAGTACAAGGAGGATACGGAGGTGCAGGACAAGGAGGATATGGAGGTTCAGGACAAGGAGGATATGGAGGAGCGGGAGGAACAAATAGTTACCAAGGGTAATATATCTTTTTTTCTCCATTTAAATATTTTCTTTTGTTTATGGACTAAAGGACCAAAACTGTATACCCCTTCTAAGAAAGAACATCTTTCCTTTAAAAAAAAATAATTTAAAATAATTAAGCCTTTTTTATTTCAATTCACTGAATAAAAATATAATTTGATTATTTCTCTTTTTAGTAAATAAGATTTTTTTTTAATGGTTACTATTAAAGGCTATTTTTACAAGACAAATTTTCCACTAAATATTATATTTTTTTTATTATTACAATTGAAAAATATTTAAATATTTTATTTATTTTGTTCAGAGGGAACCAGTGGCAGCCCCCTTTACCATCAGCACCCCGTCCAGAAACTACCAACAGGTATATTTAAAGAATAGGCAACAAATCCAGACTCTTAATTTGTCAAATAAAAATGTCACAGAATGTCGTCTTTTCTAAAATTCAAAAGGATGTTAGGACGCTTATCTTACACCAAACTTGCTCACTTAAACGGCCTGAAGTTCTTTGTTAAAATACAAGAAACTATACTTAATGACGTCTAAAAACTTCTATTTAAAAATATTTTTTTTTCAATCAAATGATTTGCGGCACAAAATCATTATCTTTATCTGTACTTTGCTTGTCTGTCTGTTTGTTGGAACCAATCGGGCTTAATGTTTTGTGGGACTTCACATGTTCCCAGGGAAGGTTTATAGAAGATCAAAATTTCAAAAATTTGCCTCCATCAACATTCGATTTTCATTAAATTTTGAAAAATCCACGAAATTGTTTTTATAATCCGCGAACTTTTCTTTGTTTTTGTTTAACAATGTAATCAAAGAGAAAAAGTTCACAATTGAAATAGAAGATGGTTCGTGTCCTAAAATCCTAGTTTTAGATATATATTATATTTTAGCTTGGGATTCTCTTTTCCTATTTAACAATGAAACAAATTTAGACGTTTTTAAACAGTATTCTTTATTTCCTTTAAATTAGTAAGACTTACCTGAGGAACGAGGAAATCTCTTGTTAAACCAGAATACATCAGGGAATTGAACCTTCAGCCTGTATAGTTTATATCCCTGCATCTCTGAATTAGCTTGGGATGGGATGGGATGGGATGGGATGGGATGGGATGGGATGGGACGGGATGNCGGGACGGGACGGGATCTAATCTATTTTTATCCCTATAGCACTGCGAAGACTCCTTCCAATTACAAGACAATGATCTGTAAAAGTTGGCTTGAAGTGAAGAACTGCAAGGTAAATTATTTTTAATTAATAAACGGAATTTAAGTTGATTCATTGTTTGTTTCATCACTATACGGGTTGATGAATCGTTGTTTTTGTATGTACAAATCGAAAAGGTTTAGTATATTCAATCATAAAAGGTTTTATTTGAATTCTTAACATTTTTAGAATCTCGTACCATCAAGTTTTAAAGAAAACCTAATACCTATATTTTGTGTTATCAATTGTAAATATTGTCAAACTATTTTAATGGGTTTAATTTCATCGATTTTATTTTTATAGTCATAATTTTTTGTTACTTTTTATTGCATTTTGATTTCTTTTTTTTGAGTTTGCATGACACATGAATTTTTCTTATTAGTTATGAACATAATTAATGTTTAGTTTGAGAATAGTTGCTTACATGCTCATGGAGAGATAGAACAGAGACCTTTCCCACAGAAGGAAGCAGGGTTTAAGGTAGGGTTATTTTCAAAAAAAAAAATTCCTAATGAAATTAAATCTTTTTTATTATAAATATTTGTCTAGTTTAAGAAAAAATTTGTTATAACAAAATGAAGTTTAGTTTAAGGCAGGATATCACAGTTTAAGATAAAAAATGACAGCGTTAATGTTAATTTAACATCAGTTATCCAGGGGATATTTGTTCCAAAACTAACACTTGGCCCATTTCTAACACTAAGTGTTAGAAATAGGCCAAATCTTCTAAGTTTTCTCTTTCAAGTGTATATATCCTTAAATCCAAGCCGAGTTAAACAAAATTACACAATATATTTTTTTTAAATGGCTAAAACTATATATTGAAACAATAAATGTCAATTTTAAACTAATAATAAGGTGTGATGATACTTGATTTTATTTTCGAACATATACCTATTTTAAAACAAATACCGCATTTCAGCTCATGTCGCGTTTTCGGAACATATTCTTAATTTGAGACAATTACCTAAATTCATATCAATGTCAATTTTTAAGCATTTATGTATACTTACGTTACGAAACAAAAAAATGATAGGGTAAAATATAAACAAAATAGAAAATAAAAAAAGCTCTTCTATAAGTTGAAAATCATTACAGCTTTGAGAAATCAAAATACTAATATCATTTTGTTCTTTTCATTTAGATTAAACTATAAATGCGGGAAATTGATTGTTTAAAATGCTTGAAAATAAATCATCGGTAATTTCTAATTTAACAGATACAACGTGATGACTTAGATTCTAGAAATAATTTAGAAGTTAATTTAGTCTTCATGAGATAAATTTTGTTTTCAGTGATATATTTTGTAAGTTATGAAAGTGATTTTAGTTTGGAACTGCGGATTATACTCAAAAACGGGAAAGTGGGGTTTGGCTCGAAAACGCGACAATGTTGCAAATTCAGGATATGTTCGAAAATGGAAAAAGCTGACATTTTGGTCTTGAAAACGGTCAAGAGCTTTAATATAAAAAGAATTTGTGTATTTGTTCAGGAGTATCTGTGATGAATTTATTTGTTCAGGAGAATCTGTAATGAATGTATTTGTTCAGGAGAATCTGTAATGAATGTATTTGTTTCAGAGAATCTATGATGAATGTATTTGTTCAAGAGAATCTGTAATGAATGTATTTGTTAAGGAGAATCTGTAATGAATGTATTTGTTCAGGAGAATATGTAATGAATGTATTTGTTAAAGAGAATCTGTGATGAATGTATTTGTTCAAGAGAATCTGTGATGAATGTATTTGTTCAGGAGAATCTGTAATGAATGTATTTGTTCAGGAGAATCTGTAATGAATGTATTTGTTCAGGAGAATATGTAATGAATGTATTTGTTAAAGAGAATCTGTGATGAATGTATTTGTTCAGGAGAATCTGTGATGAATGTATTTGTTCAGGAGAATCTGTGATGAATGTATTTGTTCAGGAGAATCTGTAATGAATGTATTTGTTCAGGAGAATCTGTAATGAATGTTATTGTTCAGGAGAATCTGTGCAAGTATTTCGAGGAGACAGGGCAGTGTAAATGGAACAATGAATGCAAGTTTGCACACGGGGAGAAGGAACTGCAAAAACGTTAGTTTTAAGAATTTTAGATCTAACATGTTTATTATTTTAATGCGCTATGGTCGGAAGTTTTGGTATCTTCGACGCTTGAGCGCGATATCCGCAATGGCAACTCTTGATTTTAAACAGCTTAGTGTGTTTAAGCCATGAAAATGAGTTGACCCGTATTTTCGCAATTTCTTATTGGCTGAGATCAAAATTTTTGCGGCATCTGATTAGTCTTTGTTTTCAGCAATCTCTTATTTCTTGCTCATTTAGGGATATCTAAAAGGAATCAGCCATGGTCTATGAAAACTAAAAATATGCGGATTAGTGCTTTCTTAATTGATTTACTATTCATAGGTTCCGACCTAAAATCTATAGCTTAAATGGACCTAATAAAGATATTTTCTATTTTATAGCACAGCTGCAGCCTGGACACTACCCTGCCATTTGCAAAAGGTAAAAAAAATTAAGAATGAAGATTTCTCTTAATTTCGCAATATCCTTCGTGTTTCTTTTCTTCTTTTTGGAAAAATATGTTGGAAAGATCTCATTCATTTGTTCCAACTAATGTAATTCGCTTGGTGCAAAATAAATTGTAATTTTTGTTCGTTCTTCGTTCTTCGTTCTTCAATTGACTGAAATCCCGAAAAAATCCGGTTTTTGTGGATTTATTTGAACCCTGTTTAATGTTAGGTGGATAAACCGTGAATGTTTGTACGGAATCAACTGTAGTTTCCAGCATGCTATACCGAAACAGAACACAGAATGGAAGATTACCAAGTGTAAATCTATGGGAGGTAAGTGGAGTTACACCAATTATAATTAAACTAAAGGATTGATTGAAAGGTGTGTAAACAAAATGTCCAATAAACCTATCGTTTAATATTTACAAAAATCTCGGAATGTATTGAGGTCAGAAATCTTGTACAGGGTGTCCCACATCATATTAGACCGAGAACGGGTCTAAATTACGATTTTCGGGACTAATTAGAAAATTTTATTAGAATGAATCATTTTGAAAAATAACATAAGGCTTATATAAGAATTTTCTTGTGGAAAATGATGAGTTTTTAGAGTATTAAGGGTTTATTTTGGTGTTAAAGATTGGAGATAATCTAATATGATATGGGACGCTCTGTATCATCTGTTCATGTCTCTACTGAAGAAATCCAGAGTTGCTCTCTAGAAAAGATGCGGCCGATATTAATGATTTTCAGGCGTAAAAAAAATAAGATGCTACAAATTCTGAACAATTTATTAATGTTTAGAAGAAGAGCCCTGTAAATATGGAGACAAGTGTAACTTTGCTCACAGGTATTTTTTAGCATTGTAATGTTTTCTGATACCAAATTCAATAAAAAGCGAGTGTTTGAAAAAGTTTGAACTGGTACACTAGAAAAGGGGTGGTTCTCGCTATTCAAGAAATATGGTCCCGGAGCTTGTTTTTGGTCTCACCATAAAGAATATGCTATTTCTCAAATTAAATCTGTTCGCTTTTTGCTATCTATTTTCTTTAAGTGAGGCCCAGCTCCGTACTAAGGAAGATAATGTCGCCTTCCTCTCCATTTGTCATCAAATTCAAGGTAGAAACAAAACTATGAATAGGTTTACATCCCGGCGCTTTGCACGCATTGAATAATTTGAGCTTTTTGTCAATGATCTTTCTGCAACCCTTGTTTACGGTTTTAAAATTATAACATTCAAACCTTCGCAGATATTCCTGTTTTAATTGGCGGACTTACAAATTTGTCGACAACAAAAAAACCAGTAAATCTCGAAGAAATGTTTGGGACCTGGATCTGGATCCGGAGTGGCATCAAAATGAAATGGATCCTAAGAATTGTTTATGATGGGTGTCTGTCAATAACTAAGATAATAAAAGAAGTATAAATCTGTAGATTTGCAAAAACCCCGGAAATTAATGATTTATTTGATAAATGTTTAAAAGTTTATTTTATATTAGTTTTGTATTTATTTTTATGATGTTTCTTCTTCAGCAATGAGAACGATGGGTATGAGTAGTCTGCTTCAAATGAGCCAGCAGATGGGACAAGGGCTTGTCGGAACCGGTTCTTCTTCCGGATACAACAACACCGGAAGTGGATACAACATGGGAGGAAACGGTTACAATATGAGCGGAAATGGATTCAACATGGCGGGAAATGGTTATAATATGGGAGGCGGCGGCCAAAATATGGGCGGGGGTGGTCAAAGTATGGTCGGAGCAGTTCAAAACAACCTTAATCGGGGTATAAATGGCCCAAATATGGGAAACCAGGGAATGATGGGAGGAGGATTAGCGCAGATGGGAGGAAACGGGCCGAATATGAATAATCAAAATGGAGGTATGAGTGATTGGACTAAAAACTATTTAGGTAAGATGAAAATATACTTATTATTTTAAATTAATATTAAACTTCTTATTATGATAAATTTATTCATTTAAATTTATCATAATGTTAGTCTTAAAATTAATTTTAAAGTATGTGGACATTTTGCCTTCAAGATTTAACTTAAACAATGAACACCCTTTTTTATTAATATTATGCTAAACATTTTATTTTATTTTTCATTTGTTCAAGATTTAACTTAAACAATGAACACCCTTTTTTATTAATATTATGCTAAACATTTTATTTTATTTTTCATTTGTTCAAGATTTAACTTAAACAATGAACACCACACTTTTTTATTAATATTATGGTAAACATTTTATTTTATTTTTCATTTGTTCAAGATTTAACTTCAACAATGAACACCCTTTTTTATGAATATTATGGTAAACATTTTATTTTATTTTGCATTTGTTCAAGATTTAACTTAAACAATGAACACCCTTTTTTATTAATATTATGGTAAACATTTTATTTTATTTTTCATTTGTTCAAGATTTAACTTAAACAATGAACAACACACTTTTTTATTAATATTATGGTAAACATTTTATTTTATTTTAGCCGCTCAACAAACACAGAACAGCTATAACTTTGGAAATAACAGGTAATTATATTTTATAAAGACGGTGCCTAGGATCCGGATCCAAGAGACAAAATATCAACCAAAACCAACTTTGCTCTTGGATCACAATTGTTAATTAATAAGAAATTTCGAAAATTTCCTTAACTCTGAATGGTTTATTAATTTTGAGCCTTAAAATAAGTGAAAAGAAGACAAAGAAATTACAAAAAATTTCCATTTCTAAAAATAAATCAGGGCCTGGATCCGGATTTTTTTTCATGTTAGTTCCAGGATCTGAATCCGCATCGATATGAAATGTTTCCTAAGCACTGCATAAAGTGAATGTTCTAATTTCCCCCCCCCCCCCTCTCTCCTAAATATCTGATACATTTTTGAGAATTGTGCTTGAATTCTACCCTATTTCATGCGAAAACTCAAGGATTTTATTAGTTTACTTCTAAAAGCCCACAACGTTATATTTTCTAGATCTCAAGATGGGTTCAAAACATCTCCTTGCAGTGCCTATGCGAGTACAGGTGATAACTCCTATAAAATTTCTTTAATTTTAGCTCACCCCACCCCCCTCTGCCCCCCTACACGTACCCTCTATTTCACCTACTGAACGTCTATTCAAGAATCTACTGCTACCGCTAGATGGTTTTTAAATTCGAAACCGTAATATTAGTAGAGTTTTTACAATGATAAAAATGATATTTTTGCCCCTTGGATAACATAAAATAGATTTCAGCGTTTACATTTTATACAACATACTTTAATGATGTATAATACTAGCCTGGGAACCCAGCTTTGTCTGATAACTAAACTTTCTCTAAAAATCAACCAGAGTTGTGTTCAGGGGGGGGCTTCCCCCCTGAAACAATTAAATTTTTTGATTTTAGGGGATTTTAAGGACCCAATGTGTTCTGAGCTGAAAGAAAAATTGTAAGCCCCCCTCCCGGGCAAAATCCTGAATACGCCCCTGAAATCACCCCATTCAAGATTATTCCCGTGGTTCTATTGAGTTCCCAAATCAAAATTTGAGACAAATCGGTCTGAAGGGTTAATGATGGGACATACAAACAAACGACCTGGCAAACAAACAGAGAGATAACTACTCTATGTTTATAGATATATTATCTATATTATAAACTTATTAAGGAGTATGTCCTAACGGAATGAATTGTCGGTTTGCACACTCAGCTCAGGAGTTAAGGACTCCTAATGGGGGAGCAGCTAAGGTACTTTATTTAAAAAATTGATAATAGATTAATGTTATTTTTATCAACGATAAAATAGATTACAGAGAGAAAACAATCATTAAAAGTGAAAAAATTGTGAGAAAAATGACTAAATCAATTTTGATGCATTTCGTGTTCTATAATATATATATAATGTGATGAATGAAAATTTACTAATTATGTTTTTCATAAATTCCTGCAAACATATATTTGTTTAAAAGTTCTGTATGTTCTAATAAAAGTCCAGATTCTGGTGAAGAAACTTTTTTTAAGGTTGTTTTTGTGGGTGTGTGGATACGGATGAATTATTTATAAAATATTGTTGTAAAACATCAGTTTAACCAAAATAACCATGTATATTAACTGAAGAGGAGTAATCCGAAACAATTTGTATTCAAAAATATAAAAACTGAGAAGCTGCTCTCATTATTGCTTTATAGTTATATGTTGATGATTTGATTTGATGTATACAATAAAACTTCAAATCATATTTTGTAAACTTTTTTTCTTACATATATAGATATATATAAGATACGCATATATATATATATATATATATATATGCGTATCTTAATACTATTTAAGGCTGTCCTGTGTAAGACCTGGTTAGAAGAAGGATCATGTGCTAGACAAGGCCAAGGATGTCAGTTTGCACATGGACAGAAGGAACTAGGTTCACAAACAGGTGAACACAAGAGATATTTCAAGTGCCTTTCAATCTCAGGGAGACAACGGTTTTAAGGGTACCGATTTAAATCGGACATGCCTTTTTTGAAATGAAAATTGAAAATTACACTCTTTTAAATTTGGTAGTATGTAGGGAACCTATTACATAGCAGATCGATTTGAACCCTAAATTTGTATGTTATTTTTTTCTACTCAAATTAGCTTTTCAACCCTACTGTTTAGATGGTTCCTATATTCTGAAGATGGAACCGTGTAGGAACATGAAGGAGAAAGGAGTATGTCCGTACGGAGACGTTTGTCAGTTTTCACATGACATGAAAAAACGGAGTTTCCAGGTAGTATCCTTAGCTTTTTATATTCAAAGGAGTGTAGAATGTAGATTGACCATGATCATTAAAAAGGTTGGAAATTAGTGACTATCATTGTATTGTTTACGTAACACTCCGTTTAAAGCCTCCATCCCCGATTCAGAAAAGTACTCTTTAAACCTTTATCTCATTTGTAAGTTAGAAGATATCTTCATTTTTGTAGCTTGATAAGTGTTTTATTATGATTTTTTCCTCCATTTTTTTGTAGCAGAAACGTGCAAGTGACTTTTCGAGAAACCGCAACTGAAAAAATTGGATTTTAAAGAGACAAATATAGATATCTTATTCATTTTTGATGTGACAAAGTGTTGAAGGGTTCCTTTGTGTATCGAACATGCCACTCTTGTTTACATGTATTCACTTGAAATTGCTACTTCAGTCCCTTTAATTAAGGAAACTATAAAATCAGAGTTTCACTTTTAGCTGTTTGTATTTTCGAGATAAAGATTTTAATTATTAAATATTTTGTGCTCAGGATATGCAGGGTGACCCGGATAAAGATTTTAATTATTAAATATTTTGTGTTCAGGATATGCAGGCTGACCCGGATAAAGATTTTAATTATTAAATGTTTTGTGTTCAGGATATGCAGGGTGACCCGGATAAAGATTTTAATTACTAAATATTTTGTGTTCAGGATATGCAGGGTGAACCGGATAAAAGATTGGACGGAAAGTTCAAGGTAAGGAAAATATGTATAATGTATATCCCCCTTTCCATCCTTTTTGTCAAATAACGAAAAGAAGAGACGATAAATTAAATCAAAGAATTAATATGACTTTTGAACGTTCTATAATATCTTGCTTTCAGGTTGTTCTGTGCGACAAGCATCCTAGCTGCCCAATGGTAAAATGACATTTAAAAATTTTATAGATTATAGGAAGGGCTTTAGCATTTTTTTATTACAAATACAGTTTTAATTATCAGATGAATTATATATTTGGTTGAATGGATGGACAGACTCAATTAGTTGGTTGGTTGGTTGACGGACTGATAGATTAGTTGCATTCAACTAACTTGCTTGTTGGTTGATCGCCTTGGTTGGTTTATTGACTGTTTGGTTTCATGGTGGGTTGGGTTGGGTTGGGTCATGTTCACAAGAGATGACATTTATTATGGGGTTAAATCACCGAAAATTTAGTATATCAAAACAAGACAGGACTTAAAATATACTAATTTTTGTACCAGAGAAAGTTTAAATAGGGTTAAATCACCAGAAAATTTTTTATATTTTTATACTTGATCTTCATTTTTAATATTACTAGACTTGGTCTTTATTATCATAATTTCCCGATTCAACTATTCTTACTTCTAGACTGGACTTGTTACTCTTCTTACTAGAACATACATTTAATTCACTAGCTAATCAAATAATGTTTAAACTAGTTTCAATGACTTACATTAATTGCAAATTTAATCAAACTAACAAGTTTTAAACAATTTGCTCCTACGTTTTATCTAATTCAAAATATACATTTGAAACAAAATACTCGCTGGGGAGACCTCTGTCATGGAATTTTTGCCCGGTTACAGGGTAAATTTTGTATGACGTTGGTCCAAAAGTGAGGCATGGCTCAAATTTGGTCGTGTGGCAAGGAACTTCGCAATTTACAAACAACTGTTGATGGGATGTTTTAAAAACCAGGACACGGAAAGGACTTGAACCTCCAATCCATTACTGGAGTCCATTGTCATCCCCGCCCCTTGTGATTTGATTTNTGGTTGGGTTGGGTTGGCTGATTTTTTGTTGGATTTCGATATAAATTGTTGATTTGAAATGAATTATTGATTAAAATGAATTGTTTATTTGAAATGAATTGTTGATTTAAAATGAATTGTTGATTTAAAATGAATTGTCGATTCAAAATGAATTGTCGATTTTAAATGAATCGTCGATTTTAAATGAATTGTTGATATAAAATGAATTTTCGATTTGAAATGAATTGTTTATTTGAAATGAATTGTTGATTAGCAATGAATTGTTGATAAAATGAATTGTTGATTTGAAATTAATTGTTGACTAAAAATTAATTGTTGATTTAAAATGAATTGTTGATTAAAATGAATTGTTTATTTGAAATGAATTGTTGATATAAATTGAATTGTAGATTTGAAATGAATTGTCGATTTAAAATGAATTGTTGATTTTAAATGAAATGTTGAATTAAAATGAATTGTTGATTTGAAATAAATTGTTGATTTGAAATGAATTGTTGATTTAAAATGAATTGTTGATTTAAAATGAATTGTCGATTCAAAATGAATTGTCGATTTTAAATGAATCGTCGATTTAAAATGAATTGTTGATTTAAAATGAATTTTCGATTTAAAATGAATTGTCGATTTGTTTATTTGAAATGAATTGTTGATATTAAATGAATTGTAGATTTGAAATAAATTGTATAAATAGGGTGAGATGTGCAACTATGCTCATGGATACGAAGAGCTGTACACATACAGAGCAAAACAGGTGCAGTACATGTTAACATTACGTAATTACATACTCTCCCATCCCTAGCGTAATCCCAATTATAAGAAAAGAACTTAATTTTTTAAATTGGAATAATAACCCCAACCCTATCCTAGGTTCCCAAATATAAATAAACAAATTTTTTCCATCTGATATTATTTAAAAATTTAAAAATATTGTAAAATTTAATTAAAATAATTTATTCAAGTTAAAATAAATAATTAACTATCCCAGACCCTATTTGTATGTTCCCAACTTTAAATAAATAATCCCAACCCTATCCTAGGTTCCCAACTATAAGAAAAGTATTTGAATAATCCCATCCATATCCTAGGTTCCCAACTATAAGAAAAGTATTTGAATAATCCCAACCCTGTCCTAGGTTCCCAACTATAAGAAAAGTATCTGTAAGACCTGGGAGGAAACTGGAAACTGTCAATGGGAGAAAACTTGTATGTTTGCACATGGAGCAGAAGAACTCAGGTATAGTACAGTACATAACATAATATGCACAGTACAGTACATAACAAAATATGCACAGTACAGTACATAACAAAATATGTACAGAACATAACATAATATGCACAGTATGACACTACACTACACTACACTACACTACACTACACTACACTACACTACACTTGTTCAAGATCAGTATGGGTATATCGTTAAAAGACGAAGTTTCAGAGCAGTGTATGGGTTATGGCCGTATGGGTATTACACTACACTACACTATTTAATAATATTTGTTTGTATGTTTATCTCATCCCTGACATTATTTAAAGAAAGAAAAAGCGACAAATCAAATTAGTTTATACTTTTTTATATCTTCGTCTTAATTTACTTCAAGTTTTTAAGCTTTATATCCTTGTCTTGATTGACTTCAAGTTTTTAAGCTTTTTATCCTTGTCTTAATTTACTTCAAGTTTTTAAGCTTTATATCCTTGTCTCCTTGTCTTATTTGACTTCAAGGTTTTAAGCAACACATTGGTATACTTTGTTTAAGACTGTTAATAATATTTTCTATGAAAAGCTATCAATTTTTTCATCGCTAATGTTTTTTATTCAAGATAAATTCCTCCCCCTATTAATATCATCTATTTCAAGTAATATGTTAATTATTATCATATATTATGTTATTAATAATATGTTAATATTAAAGATAAATATAAAATAATGCGGATAAAAGATCTACGAGCAGGTATTTATTTTATGATAAATTTGATTAAAAAATGTAATTAAATTTGTTGTCAGTAAACAATTAAACCTATCCAATTTCTATTGGATAGATTAAAAGAAAATAAGGATTAAACTTTCACTAGTTTTTATTCTGTTTAACTTAGTTTACAAACTAATCAAAAAATGAATAAATTTATGAATTTGATAAAAAAAAAATATAGAAATAATAAAGAAAGTTCTTAATTTTTACATCTCTCATTCTAAAGGCTTTCTCTTGCTTCAGAAGTTTTAGTTCTAAAGTGTCTGATTTCCTATATTATCTATTTACTACTTAATGTACAAGTATAACTCGACAACCGAGCTTAAAATAGCAGGGACTGAATTCAATGAATGAAGGGGTCGTTCAAATGCCAGTATGCATCCGAAAGTCTTAGAACTTTGATATTTCAAACTATAAATTCTGGTATATCAATTAATATAAGAATTATCTAAGGTTCACACCACTAGGTTGCAAAAATATAGCGATCAGAAAATTTGAGTTTGTGGTAAAGACTCAATTCCTTTGAATTGCCGATTTTAATTCTTCCAGAGCCGATAACTTTTGAACTGTGGATATTAAGAGCAATGCTTGATCTCCTCTTTATGTTAATCTGCAGATTAATATAATTTTATTTTTATATCTAGATAAATGTAAAAAAAAAAAATCAAAGAGTGTCAGCCAATCAGAAGCCGGGAAATTTTGTGTACATGAGAGAACTCTTAAGAGGTCGGAACCCAACTTAGTTAAAGCTGAAGGAATTAAGGGTATCAAACACACAAGTTTTCAGCTGTAAATCTTAAAACTTTGAATCGGTGGTTCAAATTTGAACCGGCAGTATGAAGTGCAGCGACGTAGCTTAAATAGATTAGATTTGGTCCCAGAAACTAGGACGTTAGACATTTAGCTGGGCTATCAAAGATACATTAATGTAAAATTTGTTATTTATTTTTATTTTTTCCTTTTCTATTTTGGACATTTAATTTAAGCAATTTTAAATTTGAATATTTCTAACATGAACACGGATTTGCCGGTTTGGCATGATGGGGTTGTAAAGAAAGTGATAAATTTTATACTAATTCATTTACATGCACGCAGGAAATTGAAAAATGGCGTTGTTAATGTCTGAGGGACGATTTAGATATTGTATTTTATGATTTGATTTAGTTTAAAGTTGGTAACGGTGGGGTTTTCTTCTTGCCTGGCTAGAGTTCTGCTTTGGTTGTTTATGTTTTGATCGCATACTGTTGAACTTTTTTTGTACACAGACAGAAATGTAGAAACATGACGCACACAATGCAGCCATTTACCGTTTTCATAAAATATTCTCAATCTACGGTCGAATTTAAAGAATTTGAGCGGCGGTTTAAATTTAAGCCGCGGGTTAAATATGGTTGGTTCCACTTAAAATTGTATCAAATGTTTCAAGATTTAAAACAGCGCTTAATTTAAACCTGGTTTTGGCAGATTTAAACCGCGGCTCAAATTCTTTAAATTCCATCTCAGACTTTATCATAAATATATGATGTTAGCATAAATCATAGCTTAATTAAACCTATAAATTGTTCTGCAGTCTGAGCTGGGAACTTTAATGTTTGATACACATAATCCAATCGCTTGATATCGATATCAACTGTGGACACTTTTAATTTTAGGATCTATAATACACTTTACCTACCATATCTTCATTTTAGTTTACGAATAAAGATTAAATATCTGCAAATTAACAAAATATTGGATCAAGAATTGATCTCGGTCTCCACAATACAAAAGATCCCACCTCCTCGTGGTTGAAATCTCTGGTTATCAATCTTCTAATGATATTCCAAATTACGCTTTTACTAATGTTGAACTGTTTTTGAATATGGAAATGATTTTGCTAAGTTGGTAATTAAAAGCTGAATACTTATATAATCTCCCTAATTATCAATTCACTAATTGATGAAACTAGATGGATGTGATATAATTATAGATTAAATGAGATCCACATATATTTACAGAAATACCTTGTATAGCTAAACTATTTTATATATCACTTCGTATTCTTTTTGCACGTTAGGGATCAGTATTCAGTATGCATGATACATAATGGATGTTACGTATTCATTTCTTTCGATAAGTAAAGGACTTTTTTGTTAAAAAAAAATTGTCGTTAAATATTTTATCACTTCAAACAAAAATTGAAATTATTATTTATTAAATTTAAGATCAAAACGATCTGATTCCATTTTGATGTGCTTTTGAGTCGTTAAACGAAACGCAATCGCTTAGATTTATTTGTACATTTAATTATGTCTACTTTAATGATTATCATATTATGTTAGTATTTTTGGTACTTAGAAGAACTTTCTGAATTTTATTTAAGATTACTAATTTACGGTAGAAACCAAGAAACCATGTTTACTTCTACAAGCTGATCATATTGTGTGAAAATTTTCCATCCACTTTTACTCTTATGTTACTCCCAGCGTTTCGGATCCGGATCCGTATCATTTGGTCGGATCCGGATCCGTATCAGGAAACGTTGATATGGATCCGGGTAGCGCCAAAAATTAACCAAAACCATGGAATAAATAAATCAAAATGATTCGTAAATGTATTATTTACATGACGAAAATTTTTCAAAATTATCTTTAATAATTTAATGTTTACATTTATATAATAGTAATGACGACATTTTTAACTTTAGGATTACTATAGTTTATAAATTATAACCTTGCATAACATTTAATAGGGAAAATCCGATTCACAGAATCAAAAGTTACCTCGGATCCGGATCCGTATCAGAGTCAGGATCCGGATCCATCATCACGGATGCGGATCCGCGGATCCGGATCCGAATCAAAATGATATGGATCCGAAACACTGGCTTACTCCTTTAAAATTCCTTGACTAGAATGTTACTCCCTATATATTTCTTGACTAGAATGTTACTCCTTTTATATTCCTTGACTCTAATGTTACTATCTTTATTATCCTTGACTCAAATGCAATGTTTAGGATCCATTTAATTTTGATGCGGATCCGCACTGGAAAATAATGGATCCGGTTCCTAATCAGGATCAAGGTTATTTCCAAAAATTAACTGAATCTTTGTTAACTAAGCCAAATTTTTGGGTTTCTTTTCGCTTAGTTTTATGCTAAACCATGATGAACAATTCAGAAATCAGGAAATTTTTTATTATTTTACTTTCTTAATCTTCCTTGACTCTTATGTTACTATCTTACTCTTATGTTACTATCTTAATATTCCTGGACTCTAATGTTACTCCCTTAATATCCCTTGACCTAACGTTACTCTTTTGAAATTTCAGACTTGAAAGTCACTCCCTTCTTCCTGCCTTAATGTTATCTCTTAATATTTATGACTTAAAAGTTACTCCCTTAATCTGCTTGACATAAATGTTACTCCCTCGTCTTCTTTAGACTAAGAAGTTACCCCCTTAATCCCTGAAATTACTTTGCATAAATTCAGGAATTCTAATCGCCCGGATATCTTACTTTCCATCAACAACGTGTAACTTCACTTTATTCCTCCCCTGTACACATCCTACTTGCATGCAGGGTGTAACGAAACAAATGACACTTATTGGTTGAAAATTTGGGGGTTTTTCAGTTAAAGGGTTGGGAAATTCCATTGTTTTCGGGAAAAGTCATGCATAGCCCTGAAAAAAAAAACACGTTTCTGAGGAATGACCATTTTGTTTTTCTCCCCCTGTGTCTACATTCCCCCTGTATCTTCCTATCTCACTACCCATCTTTCACTGTGGGCAGCTGAGAAAAAACAAGTTTCAGATTTAATCCTTCTTTACAGAAATCACATGATTTTGTATTTGTTAAATCAGTTCTTTATATTGTGCTTTAGAATGTAGTTTATTTATAAATACTTGATCCCTGGTTAGAGAGATGTTAGTTGTTGAGTTAGATAAACGTTAATTCCAGTTATGCAACAGGGATTTGAAGGAGTAGACTCGTGTGTGATTTTTCTAAAATTTTGTTTTAAAATCAAGAATACTCAAAAGTTGCAACGAGTAAGAAAGCATGTAAAGGACAAGATTGAGTTATTTAAAATTTTCGGATGAAAAATATCTTGCTAGGTAAACTGGGCCATGGGAAACCACCTCAAAATATAAGGACTGCATACAAACAAAATTTCAGTGAAATTTGAACTGCCTACGTCGGTTAAAATTTGAATCACCGATTCAAATCCTTCTTTAATCTTAAACTTTGAATTGGTCGACCAAAAAAAATCGAGCCTTTGCCACAAACTCTGATTTAAAATACCTATATCTATGGAGCCCAATGTAGTAGACTTTAAATATTTAAAGCTATGAAGTTGTCGGTTCTAATTTAAACTAAGTTTGCAATATCGAAGGTTTATACTAATAGTTTGCAAAGATATAGAGATTAGAAAATTTGAGTTTGTTGCACCGGCAATTTAGTCGTCATTATAATAAATGCATGTATTATGTAAATCTGTTAATAATTAAATCTTTATACTCATCAAAGATAGAATGACTTGAACGTATCCATTATTTATTTTTGGCGTGGATATTTATCTAAATATATATATGTACATTCGAAAGTTGATATTTTTTGCATCATATTTGTAAACAGTGCACAGTGTTCTCTTGCACTTTTTCTGATGTGCAGGGAGGCATGTGGTGGAGTGGGGACTGGATATAAATCTCTGTAAACTAGAGTAACTTAAGAGTTTATTTGAGAACAAAATAGTTAATTATAAAGTGACAAAATGTGCCTTGTACGGTGTGTACGTGAAAGTATAGGTTAAACATGTCTAGTATTTATCAGGGCGCGCCAAGCCGGTCACATGCTCATCTCATAGGACTAAAGCTTTCACAGCTTTAGTGAAACATGAAATACAACACTAGAGATTCAACATCGTAGACTTGAATTTAGGATCAGTGTCGATTATTTTTGGAGAATTTGTGACATGCTGAAGTTATACAGGGTTACCCACAAAGGATGAGACTTCATAGGCGGTTGTTCAGTCCGTTATCTTGCCTACAGGGTTCCTTAAGGCCAAATCTTGCTTATTTCTGTGCTTAATCATTTAGTAAACCATCAAAATACTTAATTGAATGCAAAAACCTAAAATCATGCTCTTCTGTCCGATCCAATTATTTTTAGCATTTAATATACCATATTCTTATCAGATTTACTTCATAGACAAATCAGCAATAATTCTTATTATTATTATTCTCACCCAGTTCGTGTAATAATTATGATTATTCCACGAAATGGGTGAGAATAATAAGAATTATTCACCGGGAACTTTATAGATCGATAGATCAGCTATTTAATTCTAGAAACTAAAACAAATGTTTATTCATTTTCACAATCATAGACTAATAAATTACTTATTTAAACCATTTGAACCATTTTAAAATGCTTATTTTTTGTTCTTTCATCAGGGGCGTAGAAAGGGAACGGGGGCTAAAACGTATTCATATAAATATTTCTTGATGTCAATATATCATAATTATTTTAAGACTTTAGGTCTGTCAGAATAATACGCCATGAAAAAGATGCCCAACAAGGATAGATTCAGCAAGCAAAATTAGCCCGATATGGTTCAAAATTAGCCCGATATGGTTCAAAATTAGCCCGATATGGTTCAAAATTAGCCCGATATGGTTCAAAATTTGCCCGATATGGTTCAAAATTAGCCTGATATGGTTCAAAATTACCCCGATATGGTTCAAAATAAGCTCTATATGGTTCAAAATTAGCCCGATATGGTTCAAAATTAGCCCGATATGGTTCAAAATTAGCCCTGTATGGTTCAAAATTAACCCGATATGGTTCAAAATTAGCCCGATATGGTTCAAAAAAGCCAACTGTCAGGGGAACTGTTTGATCTACATCAGACTTCAGTAAATAAATAAGAATAAGCGCCTCAACTCAATTTCAGCAAAAGCAAGTAGAAATTATATATAATATATAATATTTTTATAAAATTACCTACAAACACGGGTTTTCAGGGGCGTCAAAGGGAAAATATCAGATTTTAATTTACAATATCATAGAAATTAGTAAATGTTGGCAATTTAAACCCGACCATCTTGTAGGAAGAGTCTTCAAGGGCTGAAAGATTCAAAATGCACAATTTTCATCAAAAGGAGATCCTAGAGATTCAATATCAGTAAACACCCCCCTCTTTGATTTTATTCTATAACTTAAAGTAATTTTTAAATGAATTAAATTTTGTAAAATGAACCATTTTTCATAGAAAGGAGCGCCTATAAATTCAATATCACTTAACACTGTAAACTCATTTAACAAACGCAAAGAAATAAAAGCTTTCAGTTATTGAAGAAACTCCATAAAGAATGGTATGGTCTGACTAAATTAGACATCTACATTTTCTTTGATTTTAACAAATGAAATATAAGAGGTGTTACGCGAGCTACGCTGCGTTCATAAAGTCTATGTGATACCCCTGTGATTCTCTGAGTTCCCCCTGAGGATCTGTACAGAACGTATTGTAAAGAACTAGTTTTAGAAGCTGTTTACAGTCCGACTACGCATGCGCAAGTTCCCTGCGTAGGAGCGAGCAGTTTCTACTTCAGTATACAGTTGTATTTCATGTAATGTTCGTCGATTATTAAAACCGTGTGAAAATTCTAGGACCACTGCGGTAATTATGATTATATTTATATGAATATTGTTTATGTTCGGTTATGGTTGATATTGTATGATGTAATGTATGGGTTCCTTGCCACAGTTTTTTAATGCCTGAGTGGATTTATTGCTGTATTTGTATGATTTATCACTCAATGCTTTTTCTGTTGGCTTATAAAAAATTATTTAGATTGAAGGCTTAGAGAAATAAACGTTCGGAACCTTATTATCATCCTTTTGTTATGGAGAGCGTTGAGAGAAGGAAGCCTTACAATCCTATCCAGAGAAATACCACTCGGTACTTATAGATTTCATTAGGTCTTTAGGGAATTCGCTAAGTAGCGAAACAAGAGGGAAATGTTCATTGATATTGAAGTCGATAAAAATGCAGCATTTTATTCCTTTATAAACACTCCCTACAGGATGATATGGTGTTACATAGTGAAAAATTATTTTTCTTTGACTTTTCCAAATGAAATCCAAGTGAGGGGTGTTCAGTGATATTAAATTTCTAGGCGACCCTTTTTAATTATAATTCCCTGAGGCATTAAAAATCACGTTCTTAGTTTTAAGGGAAAATTATAGAAGACTAGAGTATTCTATGTGTATTTGTGTATTTTGATATTTAGGGGTCATCACATTTAATATGTAGCCCAACATGTGACATAGCATTTTTATCTACTTTTAAACTGTTGTCTATATCGAAGACAAGAGTATTCTATGTGTATTTGTGTATTTTGATAATTAGGAGTTATCCATTTAATATGGGATCCAACATGTGACATTGCATTTTTATCTACTTTTAAACTGTAGAAGACTAGAGTATTCTATGTGTATTTGTGTATTTTGATAATTAGGAGTTATCCATTTAATATGTGGCCCAACATGTGACATAGCATTTTTATCTACTTTTAAACTGTTGTCTATATTGAAGACTAAAGTATTCTATGTGTATTTGTGTATTTTGATATTTAGGGGTTATCCATTTACTATGTGGCCCAACATGTGACATAGCATTTTTATCTACTTTTAAACTGTCTATATTGAAGGTTGAGAAAGGTTAGATTCTGCGTAGTAAGTTTATATTCTGAGATTGCGTAGAATCTGTGTACAGTGCAAACTTTCTGCAAGCCTGGAATCAGATGTTTTTAACACTTGACAGGTTTATATTGTAAACACAGTTTTCAGAGGTCTTAAATAATTCAGACAATTTTCCAATGTAATTTTTAATGGCTACTTTATATTGTGCAGTACGGTTTGTACTGCAACATTGCTGGGACTAACACTAAAAGCAAGGAATATATATCAGGAACCCCCATAGTTCCTTTGTACTACAAAATCAAAAAAGTTGCGGATTTAAAAAAAAATCTTGGATTTTCAAAATTTAATAGAAATAGAATCTTGTTAGAGGCAAATTATTGACATTTTGATCATTTATAAACCTTCCCTGGGGACATGTGAAGTCGAACAAAAAATTTGGGCCAGATCGGTTCAGACGTTTTGACGTTTATTGGATACCAAATAGAGTCTAGTACAATAGATGGCAACGTAGAATTTGTACACTCTCAGTACAGTTGTATTCTTACGTCACAAGTTTCCGACAATATTATCAATAATAGTGATAATTTTGTAATAAAGTGCTTTTCTTACAGTAAAATAAGTGCAATTTTATGCGTTCTTTAGTTTCTGTTTTTACACTTTTTTATTTAATCTTGGAATAAATGTCAACTAATGTGAGACAATTTCGTTTTTCTTGTTATATTTGACACTTATGACGTGTATAATTAGTTCATTTCTCTGTTGCCACCTATTGTACTTGATAATCTATTAATTGGATACAAACAAACAGACTGACAAGCAAAGTATATATATAGTTCAGGAGTTTCTGCGCTAATCAATAGTATAATAATTTACATAAGTAAAGCTTTCAAGTTCCAAACAAAACAAAATAGCCACGCTGAATGAACTCATCCTTACTCAGATTTTCAAAATTCCGATTATTTTTGTATTATCCCTTCAGGATATTTGTCTGTAAATATGCAGTACACTTATCAAAAAGGGGACATTTGTCCGAAAAATATGACGTCATATTAGTAAAAGGGGACATTTGTCCGAATCTGAGAAACCTGAAAAAAACTTGTATTCAATAATAACTAAACAAAAGAGAAAAATTAAACAGAAAAATATGAAGGAAATAAACATGGGTAACGCTGGACACTCAAGCTAGTAAAACAAACAATAAGAAAAATAAAATGATGATAATCATCCGGACACAAAAACGTAATACAGTATGAAAACCTTTCCTGAACCCCCTTTTCTGTTTTATAACGGAGACCCTGCACGTTGTACTGCCAGGAAACAGGTTTGGTTGTTTGTCTACACAACGGATTCATGTGTACAGTACTGCAGCAGTGTTGTTAATTAGATGTCCTCGAATAGACATATGTTGTTATGGTTAATGGTTATATTTGTTACTCCCTTTTTAGTTTTTAAGTTAGCACGCCTTGCGCTAGAGCGCTCAGACTTACTACTTCTGCATTATAATTAAAGTAAACAAAAATACTTGTTTTCCTGAGCCGCTGCAGATCTAAATTCACATTTTATAAGCTGTTGAAAAATGAATGTGAACACATATCCCATGATAATATTGTGTAATAAGATTGAATTTTTTTCGTGTTTTTTAATTTTAATTTTTCTGAAGTTCTTTTAACCTCATCAGAACCAAAACTTTAAAGGGTTTCGAATTTTCAAAAATAAATGTGCACTGAGAAGTTTCCCTTCTGATATTCATCACACCCTTTATTTCAACTCTACGGACAAAATCATGGAGAGGAGGCTGGGTGGTCGAGAATTCCCCCTCCATCAAATACAAACCTTGCATAGTTAAAAAATGGTTTTTCTGGGACAGGGTTTAAGTTAAAAAGATATAACATAGTTATGATATTTTAGTCGGATATACATAAATTTTAATTAAGGGTTGTAACAGATCGAAATGAAGGAATTCGAGTTTTTTAATTATATACATTTTTATAATTTAGATAAAAATGGAGGCCTGGGTAACCCTTGCCACTAATGACAGTTACAGTGCTGGTGCACTTGCATTAGCTTCTAGCCTACGTAGAGTTGGAACCACAAGGTACATAGATTCTTCTGTAAGGCACTGTTGGAACCACAAGGTAGATAGATCCTTCTGTAAGAAACTGTTGGAACCACAAGGTAGATAGATCCTTCTGTAAGGAACTGTTGGAACCACTAGGTAGATAGATCCTTCTGTAAGGAACTGTTGGAACCACTAGGTAGATAGATCCTTCTGTAAGGAACTGTTGGAACCACAAGGTAAATAGATCCTTCTGTAAGGAACTGTTGGAACCACAAGGTAGATAGATCCTTCTGTAAGGAACTGTTGGAACCACAAGGTAGATAGATCCTTCTGTAAGGAACTGTTGGAACCACAAGGTAGATAGATTCTTCTGTAAGGAACTGTTGGAACCACAAGGTACATAGATTCTTCTGTAAGGAACTGTTGGAACCACAAGGTAGATATTCTGTAAGGAACTGTTGGAACCACTAGGTAGATAGATCCTTCTGTAAGGAACTGTCGACGTAATTTCAAGTTATATCAATAAAAAGAGTAAAATGTCCGATTCACATTGGTACTTTTAAAAATTCTATACTGAAAAGCAACCATGAATATTTATTTTATGTTTCTGATGCATGAATCTGCATCTATGGAAAATTATGATTTTTAGTGGGAAGAACAAGAATATTTCCATCTTTTATGCTTTGGCAAACGTTTCCAGGTTACCGTTGTGAATCGAACATGTATCTTTAAATTGAGGGTCTTTAACAATTAAATTGACAGTCCAATTGCATGTAAGTTTCTTTATTCGTACAAAAAATTAATATTTTTTCGTTTGAAGGCAGCTAGTGTGCATGGTTACTCAGGGAGTTGGTGCTAAAATGTTAACAGCGCTCAAGAAGAAATTTGATCAGGTAGATTGTAGGATAATTGTATTCAGGTTTATTCATGTATCTCTAGGTTGTGTATCCTTTTATCTCTAGGTTGTGTATCCCTGTATATCTAGGTTGTGTTTCCTTGTATCTCTAGTTATCTATCCTTGTATCTTTAAGTTATCTATCCTTATGTCTCTAGGTTGTGTATCCTTGTATATCTAAGTTATGTATCCTGTTATGTATCCTTGTATATCTGAGTTGTGTTTCCTTTTATATCTAGGTTTTGTATCCTTGTATCTCTTAAGTTGTCTATCCTTGTATCTCTAAGTTATCTATCCTTGTGTCTTTAGGTTGTGTATCCTTGTATATCTAGGTTGTGTATCCTTGTATATCTAGGTTGTGTAGCCATGTAATCTTAGTTGAGTATCCTTTTATATCTAGGTTGTGTATCCTTGAATATCTAGGTTGTATACCTGATCTTTAGGTTGTATATTCCTCTATATCTAGATTTTATCCCTNTTTATCCCTTCATCTTAAGGTTGTGTACCCCTGCATCTAATCTCTGTATCTCTAGTCGGCTTTACCACCCAGATTCAATTCACTTTGCATATCTGGGTCCATTGCTCTAACAATTTGCTTTCTATTGTTCGATGTCATCCATCCACATTATTCGATGATGGGTTCTATGGTGGGGTTCTGGTTTGAAATATTTTTAACTCATGAAATAACTCTTTCCATAACAGGTTTGTTAGACAAAGGCTTTTTTAACTTTTCAAACCAATCAAACACTTCCTTTAGATTACCCCAGGATTACCCCCAGGATTACCCCAGGATTACCCCAGGATTACCCCAGGATTACCCCAGGATTACCCCAGGATTACCCCAGGATTACCCCCATATTCCGGACCTTTTTCTACAAAAGCTACTTTTCTATCCAGCTCATACTTGCCCAGTTTTTCATAATTATATCTGCATTTGCTATTCCTGTGCATCCAGGTATTCTTTTGACTTATCTTATACATCTGGAATATTGGCTTCCTGTAGCATCCCTATAGCTCTTGTAATGTGGTCTTGGCTCTCTTGTGTCGCGGTATTTTCCCATGTATCTTAATACAACTGCTTTTCCTCTTGTATTCTGGCCTGTTGCATACCTCTTTGCATTTCTGCTATTTACTGCATCTCTTGCTTTGCTGTTCGCTCCATTCTTTGCAGCAATTGCTGTTCTCCGCCTTGAGGATTCATCATGTTCATTTCTGTTTCTGACTTGTCTTCACTAGGCAGACTAGGGTATAATAATTATACAGTGTCTAGTGTTGCTGTTGTTTCTTCTGATGCAATATCTCCTCGTTTTATTTCTCTTCTTACGTTGTAGAACCAAGGACTTTTATGGCTTATCTTCCTTGGATTAATTGGCATTCACTCAGGGTTCTTCTAACTCTTGCCGTTACTATCATTTATAGAAATGCTGTACTCTTCAAAGTTCGTCCCCCCCAACTGTATCAGTCCAGGCACAACCAGTACGCGATCCCTTTCAATCAGGAAACAACTCAGCTGGTTCTAAATGCCACACAAGGACATACAAACATAGGCTACTTATCCAGCCCTTCTCATAACTCTAAATGCCACAAAAGGACACAAGCATAGCCTACTTATCCAGCCCTGAATCGATCTTTAGCCTATAACAAGGTATGATCTCAATTAGTATGTTTTAACGAAACTGAATTACTCTACACTGTAATCAAAGCGGAGTTCTGATTATAACTATTTTTTAAAATCTCTGTTACATGTAAGTTCCAATACGTATTCACAATATTGCGCAGGTATATAATCTAATCACAATACATGGCTATTAGAATCGTATTACAAGTTTTACGTAGTTTACGTATTACAAAGATTAACGCAGTTAGATTCTAGACATTGAAGAACGCATTTTATATATTTATGTTTGTTCAAACAGCATTTATTACATGTATCCGTGTTTCTATAGGTTGTATCCCTTTCTATCGTTGTAGTAACTCTGGAGTGTATCCCTGTATCTATAGGTTGTATCGCTTTATCTCTAGATTGTATCCCTTTATCTCTAGGTTGTTTCCCTGTATCTATAGGGTTGTATAATTGTATCTCTAGGTTGTGTCTGTGGAAGAGATGGATAGTGGCGATGCTGAGAATTTAAGATTGTTGGATCGACATGATCTTGGAATTACTTTTACTAAGGTAAAATTTTTTAAAAAAGAACAAGTTAAAGGTCAAAACTTTTAGTTTGCGATTCGTGAGATCTAGCAGATCTCCATATCTAGTCAGTCTCCATATCTAGCCATGCGGATCACGATTCTCCGGAAATCTCTTGATTGTACGACCTGAGCTGAAAACTTCAGATTGGGATATCCTTAATCCCGATCGGTTAATTAATCTGGAGATTAAAAATAAGAAGAGAACAAGAATTATTTAATCTCGAGATTAAGAAAAAGAGTGGATCAAGCATTAATCCCGATATCTACCATTCAAAAGTTTCCAGCTCTGGAAGGATTGACTAAAGAATCAAGCACTTATCTTTCAAACTTAAAAGTTTTGACCTCTGGTTCTATTTCTAATAATTTAAGTCCTCAAAAATAAAAATCTTCACTTACAAACATTTTTTACAGATTAGATGTTGGACTCTCACCCAGTACTCTAAAGTAAGCAAAATATTTAGTTTAAAATTCCAAATTGTTTGATATATTTTAAACATTTTTATCAAGATGTTGAAATGCATAATATTCTTGATGGGGGCATGTTTCTCTCTGTAAAAGCTATAAATGTGAAAAAGTCAAATTTCTGCGAATATATCTCGTAATTATAAGAAAAACAACAATGTTTTGGTTGCACATTAGAAATTCAAAACTAGCTCGTTCTTCTTATTAGCTCTTGAAAAATATCGACTAAATATCGACGTGCTCTAGTGTGTGTTTCTGGACGCTGACACAATGCTGATCTCGAATGCTGATGAACTATTTGACCGGGAGGAGTTCTCAGCTGCTCCAGATGCAGGTCAACCTTATGCCTTGACCGTGCCAAGTGGTGGAAAGGGGGGGGGGTTGCAGGATGGACAGACTGATTTCTATCTATAAACTTAACGTATATTTGTTTTCGTCGTTTTTTAATCTTTTCAAAGATGAAAATTGAAAATATTTGGATTTTACATTGAGCCTGGTATTTTTACTTAATCATAATTTCTTGCTTTGATTTCTTAAAAGGAGTGATCGGCAATGTATGGTAGTTGAACTGAGAATGTAGTTATGTGAAGAAATTTTTTAGTATTCATTTGAGACATATAAAACGTTTTATGTATATTATATATGATGTATATTTACCGAGTTTGAGTGTAAAGTCGACGTTCAGAATCATCCATTTAAAATTCAGTGATGGTGATGGACCAAACCTCTGTAGAGTAAAAAAGTAGATGTTAGTTCCACATTTATTGAAAATATATTTCGGTCTGGGTTGACCCTCGTCAGTTCTAACGATATAATAACCATCAAATCGATAAAAAAATAAGAAATGTAAAAATCACAAGAAGATAAACAAACAAAAAGATTATTCAAAATAAAAATTTGGGCTGTCAAATGGACATAAGGGAAATTAACTCGGATTATGAGATGGGAAAAAGATAATTTGCAAATATTCACTTTCTAAAAAAATGTTTAAGACAATTATTATTCCTTGAGATTGTTTCTTCACAAAGATTAAAAACAAACTGTGTAGATGTGTGAATATAGAGTTGGGTGGTTACGCTTTGAGACTCGATTTAAGAAAAAAAAATTAAATAATGACGACAAAAAATGTAAAAAAAATGTACAGTGAACTAATTAGATGTTTAGGAACATGTTTCTCAATTGAAATTTTCTCAATAAATCAATGTTAAAAAGAATTATTTCTTTTTCATCATTATAATTTCTTATTCTTTTAATCTTTATTCATTTGTTCACGGATTTCTTCAAATTCTTCAAATGTCGTCTTTTCAATAAAAATTCCAGGAAATCTTCAGAAATGTTTGAACAATGAGACATTACAGAAACCAATAACTTAATGTTCCTAAACAACTAAAAAGATTACTGTTGAATTTTTACTACTTTTTTCATCGTCTTTATTGAATAATTTGTTGAAAACCGATTCTCAAAATCATCTTTCAAAAAGAAAAATCTACGAGGATTTCATAGAATGAATTTGCACTCCTGATGAACAAATATGCACCGTAAAAACGTCTGATAGGTCTCAAATGATTTCTAAACGATTACTCCAATACTGCATTCTCAGTTTAACTACCATACATTGCCGGTCACTCCCTTATAAAAAATAGTTATTAGGCATATACATATACAATATACATGGTTTAAATCCCAATGATTAAATCTGTGCCCTATTTTTGTAATCCTTTTTATTCTCGCAACTTTTTAGCAGTCCATACACAATAGTGTTACAAGATATACAATTTTATGCATAAAATATCTAACAATTATTCCATATTTATTCTAATTTTCAATATTTAAATTCATTTATTTATTGAGTAGGATGGCCAGACTGTTTCAACAGTGGAGTTTTTGTATTAAAACCAAGTTTAGAAACATACTCCGCCATTCTCAAACATGCGGCAGATACTGGATCATTTGACGGCGGAGATCAGGTATTCTTAAATACGCGGCAGATACTGGATCATTTGACGGCGGAGATCGGGTATTCTCAAACACGGTGAACTTATTAGTTGTTCAGGAACAGGTTTAGAAAATAAAAATTAACTCTTCTCATCGAAATAAGTTATCTTATTTAGTTATAAGTGTCTGTAATGTCTCATTGTTCACAAACATTTGCTTTAGATTTTATTGAATTTTTATTGAAAAGACATTTAAAGAATTTGCAGAAATCTGCGAATTAATTACAGAGATGAAATATAACAATTCTTTTTATTAGGGTTTATTGAACACCTATTTCTCTGACTGGGCAACTAAGGATATATCAAAACATCTTCCTTTTATCTACAATATGGTGGCTAGTGCTTCATACTCCTACCTTCCCGCTTACAAGAAGTAGGTTTAAATCTGATATTTACCAAGATATTGACCTCCCATACATCCCCTGTTGACTTCTCCTTCCCTCTTCCTGTCCATACTATTCTGCTAACATCCCTGACATCCCTGACATCCCGCTCAGGACCTGCAGTTTTCTCTTTCTGACCAACCCCTGACTGTGGACCAACCAACCCCCTGACTGTGGACCAACCAACCCCTGACTGTGGACCAACCAACCCCNNNNCTGTTGACCAACCTACCCTGACTGTTGACCAACCCACCCCTGACTGTTGACCAACCCACCCCTGACTGTTGACCAACCTACCCCTAACTGTCGGCCAACCAACCCCAGACTGTTGACCAACCAACCCCTGACTGTCGGCCAACCAACCACTGACTGTTGACCAACCTACCCCTGACTGTTGACTAACCAATCCCTGACTGTTAACTAACCAATCTCTGACTGTTCAACAACCAAACATCGACTGTTAACCAACCAACCCATGACTGTTAACCAACCAACCCCTGGGGTTGTTGACCATAATGACAAAACAAAGTTTTTGTTAAGGTTTGGACAGAATGTTAAAATTATACATTTTATTGGTGCAACTAAACCGTGGTTGGTTGGATTTGACTCTAGAGGAGAACCTCTTGTTGGTAAGATGTCTTTTTTCTCTCCCACGGCCCACGGGCAGCCGTAGTACATTTGAATTTCCGAGCCGGGTCAACCTCTCCGGTCCCAGTTTGTACTGTATCGCCCAGACATTGGGTAAATAAAGCAGACACTCAATAGGACTAGCCGGTGCAACATGGTTGACGCGGTCAGACTTTAGGTTGAATTTACTTTTACTGAAGGGTCAGAAGTGCGTGCTCAAAAAATGACAAAGGTTTAAAATTTACTCTTTTTTCAGGAAATACCGAATCTCACACCAAAAGTCATCTTCAACTCTGGTGGCAGATATTTTCAACTGAGGTAAATCATTCAAGTTTTTGAGAATTTTTACCGAAATTAATTTTTAATTCTTCTACGATTAGGTTAAGCCACTGCTTGTGGAGCACTGCGAAGGCGGCCAAACGGTGAGCATTTTGTGATTTAAGAATATTTATTTTTAATAATTTTACGTGTTGACTTTTGAAAAAAAATTGTTGCTTAGCAGAGTCAATTTAAAGTAAAACTTCTGGCTATGGCTTAAAATTAAAATGTGGGGGAATTTTTTTTTCCTATTTTGGCCAGGAACTTAATTCCATATATGTGCTTGCCGAACAATTTTACAGAATAAGTAATTACACTAGCCGTATCTAGTTCTGCTACTATCACTAACTTGATTGTCGTCTTATTTCTTTAATCCTTTTCAAAAATATCGTTGATAATCCTATATTTAGTTAAAGAAAGAAATATATTTTAAATTATAAGTTTAAAAATAGAAAATGTATAGAAGATATTTTGGAAAATAACATTACAACTATTTTCTTTTGCTGAAAACAAGCTAATAATTAGATTAGACAACTTTTCAAAACAAAAACCTAAAATTTTCAAACCTGGATAATAGAACTAAAATGCCAAAATGATCATTTCACTCGTTTTTAGTTCATTTTTTTACTTGAACTTCTCTTTCACAATCCCATATCTCTATTTTTCATTTATTGTCAATAAGTGATTTTAAGCGAGCTGAGAACTCTTTGAAACGCGCCAATTTTTTACTTTTTTGTGGAATTTGACAGTTTACAAACTCTTCGGTGGTCGAATGCTAACAGCGCCACGGAGTAACTTTCGTTCGTTTCTTGCACAGCTCCATACTTTAAATTATGTTATTAAAAATCTAATATTTTGAAGGATTATCCCTTCTTGAGAGTTGAGGTTGGATCTAACTACTCCTCAAATCCTCCAGCTCCAGCTGCCCCTCCAGCAGATAGTAGAGGAGATTGGGAGAAGGTGACATTTTCTTTAACATCATAATAAGTTGTAGTTTGTGTTCGGTATAGTTTTTAATTCGTTTTTTAGAAAGGACTTCTAAGAAATATGAGCAGTTATGTATTATATGTTCTAAAAATATGAGTAGTTATATGTGTTCTAGAAATATGAGTAGTTATATATGTTCTAAAAATATGAGTAGTTGTATGTGTTCTTAAAATATGAGTAGTAATGTATGTTCTAAAAATATGAGTGGTTATATATGTTCTAAAAATATGAGTACTTATATGTGTTCTAAAAATATGAGTAGTTATATGTGTTCTAAAAATATGAGTAGTTATGTGTTCTAAAAATATGAGCACTTATATGTGTTCTAAAAATATGAGTAGTTATACATGTTCTAAAAATATGAGTAGTTATATGTGTTCTAAAAATATGAGTAGTTATATGTGTTCTAAAAATATGAGTAGTTATATAGGGTCTTAAAATATAAATAGTTATATATGTTCTAAAAACTTTTGAATTCCTAAAATATAACCTGAAATATGCTTTTCTCATTTGGCGTAGAATCGAAACTTGAAGCTACGAATATACCAGTTATGTTTCATACATGTTTTAATCTAATTAATTAAAAGCAAACTTTTAAAGAACACGAAAGGCCAAATTTGCCAAACCTCGTGAATTTTTTGGAGCCTGCATTAAAGCCAGATAGTTGAATTTTTAGAAATGGATAAAAAATGATGCCTCTAAGGAGTAATTACAACTTAACTAGGTTGTCGTTAATAAAAGTGAGAGTTTTTGTAATTTACCCAACCTGACTCTTTAAAACTTATTCCATCTGTTTTGTAGCAATCAGTTATTTGAACAAGTTTTTCCCGTTAAAGAACCATATTTTGAGTTAATTGCTATTTTTCATTCCTATCAGATGTTTCTGTACTCAACCCAATTAATTATGACTTGTCTTAAATTCTGAGATGAACCCGGGGGAGGTTTACTTGAAGTACGAGAATCTAAATACATTAGAGATTTTATGACTGAACTCAGAGGAATGAACATAAAAAAATAGTTTTTATTTCATTGTGAACTGTAATTTAGTATCTTTTTAAAAAAAGAGTATTGTTTATGTCACTCTTTAAAAGGTTTAAATACCCCACCTTAAACAAGCCGCCCCCCCCCCCTCCCCCTGATTTACGTAAATGTTCGTTAATTAGATCGACCCCCACCCCACTTTATACACATACATCTAAACAGTTTGTTTTAATCTTTGTGACAAAAACAATCTCAAGGAATAATAATTGTCTAAAACATTTTTTTTAAGTGAATATTCGCAAATTATCTTTTTTCCATCTCATAATCTGAGTTCGTTTCCCTTATGTCCATTTGACAGCCAAATTTTTGTTTTTAAATCTTTTTCGTTTGTTTATTTTCTTGTGGTTTTTAACAATTTAAAAAAAAAGTTTGTTATCGATTTTAATGGTTATTTTCGTTAGAACTGACGAGGGTCAACCCAGACCGAAATATATTTTCAATTAATGTGGAATTAACATCTACTTTTTTTTACTCTACAGAGGTTTGGTCCATCACCATCACCGAATTTTGAACCCGGGGTTCTCTCCTGTTTTCTGTAACCGGCGAACATACGACAACTTTTCCACAGAAATTTCCTTCAGGATTTTTTCCCTTTCATTCATTTGAATCTTTTTCTACATTTTTATCTTAATCTTTTCCAGGGGTCTCCCGATTTTACTGGAACTGCCGCTTTCAACAATATTTTGAAGAAAATGGATGAAACCCTGTCCGCGGAAAAATAAACAGAAACCCTGTCTGCATGGATAAATGAACGGAAACCCTGTTTGCTGATAAAAAACGGAAACCCTGTTCTTAGAATCTGAAAGTGAAAGCTCCGGAATCTCTTGTACTCTGGCGCAGTAAATTCCAAATTTGCCATTTTATTTTATAAAACTTTATTTCGTGAAACTTAAAGTTAGCATCTTTTATGTAAATTTTGTTCATAATGTTTTATTGTTAATAAAATATTCATTTGGATTATTTTGGACGAATTCAATATTTTTATCTTATGTTACTTGAAGTGTTATACAATCGGGATAGAGGGAAAGTATTTGAAGATATTATAAATCTGAACTAGCCTAATTTTTATTATCAAAATTCGAATTTTTTTCTTAAATTCTTTTTTGAAAATGATTATAATGTATGGAGTGCTATTGTACGTTAATCCTTTGCTAATGTATAGGGTAGGAACTACATACACAGAGCATACTGCAGCATATATTAAAGGGTAGGTCATAATTTTCGCTCAGTTGTTAAACAGTACATTCCTTCCATATGGGCGGAAATATAGCACCCTGGTTTAAACTCCCTGACTTACATGGTACACAAACTTTAAAATAATGATGGAATTTTGATTGTCATAAATCCACGAAGCCAAGGTTTTAATAAATATTTGAGACTGTCATTCATAACTTTTTATTTTAAAAAATCGGGTAATAAAGAAGTTCTTGTTCTAAAGTCATTTTGCCCTTGCCCTGCAGATATTGTCATTTTTCTATGTTTGAAAGTGTTGATTCTGATATTTCCTGCAAGCCATTTTTGTAGAGAAACCACAGTTTAAAAAAATCAGTTTTCAAAATTATAAACATTTATATCTTCTTTGCTCAGACCCTCCTCTCACATCAGACAAAGCTGTTAAAGGTTTCGGTGTGTATCAGGCATTGCCTTTTTTGCTTAAAGGTTCTCTTAGATAATTTATAATGATGAAATAAGGACATTTTTTTACTCTTAACTTTTTCACTCATATGTTTAACTTATTATTTATTACATATAATTTATAACCGATTTCAATCCTTCCCTGCAAAGTTTTAGGCATAAAAACTCATTTTGTGGTGAACTATTCTAGAGTTAAAAATAAATAAATCAAAGTTAAACATCATTTATTCATATTTTTAGCTGAATTAAATAAAAAACATAACAAATATTTCATAGAAATTACATTAAATTAAGTATCCACATGGATCACAATGGGTCAATGGGGTTTTAACCAAGAAGTGGGGCTTGGGGAGCGCCATAGGAGTCAACATTATCAAAGGAGACAGGGGCACTGTAGGACACCTGAGGGGCGGTATCATATGACACAACCTGGGCAGGGGCGCTATAGGACACCTGAGGGGCGGTATTGTATGACACAACCTGGGCAGGGGAGCTGTAAGTGACCTGAGGAGCGGCATCGTAAGATACAGGGGAGCTGTATGTAATAGGAGAGGAATATACATCAGAGCTAACAACAGAGTAGGGGGGATCAACAACATAAACTCCTGAACAAATTAGAAATTTAAAGATCAAAATTTGTCTGAACCTTTGCCTTTGCGTTCGAGGTTCAGAGGTTTAGAATTAAAACTTCAATAATTATGAGAGCGTGTTAAAAAGATCATGAACCGAAATTTAGCAAAATTATCGGAGTTAGGAAAAATTTAAATTTTGGGAAAGAGGGAAAACTCACCGTCATCAGATCCACCGAATCCAAAACCTGCAGATGCTCCAGCATTTACTAAAATAAAGAACATCAGTGCTTAAGTCAATATTCCTATACCGTTATCCACAAAATGATTTTTGAATGAAGACTGGACAAATCCGTACAATCGGCAGTACAGTCTCATCCTGCACACAGTTTATTCTTTCTGGAAAAACTGGAAAAATCCCTCCCTGTCCCACTTTCAGAATTGGTTTGAAAGGCCAAATTTGCATAAATAGGGGGGGGGGGGGGGGGTTAAAAATTGATTTAAAATTTCAACAAGCAACATATGGTAAAATGAAGAACTCCAGCATTTCACAAATATGTGCTTATTGGAAAGAAGAACCATGCAAGATTGGTCATTAAAAATAAATTCCTTTTTTTTTTGTTTTTCTGTAGATTAGAAAATATATGATTAGTCCTCACCTTCAGGTAGACCGAAGGGAAGGTTGGCACCTACTCCACCAGATACTCCAACATGTACTCCATCATCACGGGTCAGATACTTGTACAGTAGATCTAAACAGATACATGTACAGGAGATCTACGCAGATACAGATTTATGTAAAGTAAACCTAAACATATACAGATACATATGTACAGTAGATCTAAGCATTAGATCTACTCAAGAAAATGTGTAAACAGATTACAGATGCATGTAATTGTACATTGTACATTCGGTTAAAGTGTAGGAATATGCAGAATACAGACACTTGAAGGGTTACCAAAACTATCAAGAAAATTATAATTTCTCTAGAAAACGGCTTGTGAATTTCGAAAGAAAAGATAAGTAACAAAATGGCCGAAATGTATATTCTAACTTATGACTTTTCGGAGACCTGTTTTTAATCCGTTCAATAAATACTATACGTTGTCTGTCCTTTTAAGTATGTATTTTATTATTCTTGCAACAGACAAGAGATAAAACGGCCTAAATTTTTGCTTTTGCATTTTCAGGTAACGATAAAGTTACACACTTTTATGTTTGATGGCGTTATTCATTTGATAATCTTGAAAATCTAAAAATGATCAAATGTAATTTAATTCTTTCTAAATCAAAATGTTGAATCTTTTAAATAAAAATTATGCAATTCTTACATTTTCCCCCGAGTCCTAAAGCGACGGCCTTAGCTCCAACCAGCGCTGTCCCAATCTAGAAAAAAGATATAAAACTCAAATTTTGTCAACAAGGTCGATTGCAAACAATTCGTTTTATTTTTTCATGTACTCAAAGTAGAAAAAAATAGTTATTTTAGGAAGGAAAAGGTGAATATTTTGCTGAGAAAAAAAAAATGAACAAAAATATTTATTTTTACTTATTTGAGGGGTTTATTGACATATCTAAAGCTAAAAAGAAAAATTGCATTTTAAAGTTTTTAAGAATTACCCCTGCAGCTGTACCGAAACCAGACAGGACCGGTGCCACAGCATCTTAAATAGAATATTTTTATATGTCAGATAAATCGATCAGAAACATCCTAACATTGAATTTTGAATTCTTCTTAAAAAGATGTTTTTTAACATCCTCCCCCCCCCCAAAAAAAAACTCCTTGAAACACAAAATCAACATTGTATTTCTGGTTTTAACAAAAGAGTTAGTTAATCGCTATAAACTTTGTAAAGCTCCTGGTAGTGTTATTTTACAATCAACTTCCAGAGATAGCGGCATTATATTGTACCAGCTTGGGAAGCCAGCTTTACATAGAACCTAAACTTTCTCCATCAATGTCAACCTACGATCAATCCTTGAACCAAGCTTAATTAATATTCCCGTGGTTCTACCGAGTTCCCCAATAAAAATTTGAAGCAAATCGGTCCAGGTGTTCCCGAACTATACTCGGACATCCAAACAGACAAATAAACAAACGCCCAAACAGAGATTACTAATTTATACATATAGATATATTCTGAAAAATATTTTTTTTAAACAGTTGTTGTATATGAAGACGACTTTCGATTTTTTATTTATACCAAGCTTTTTGACATCTTGGATCACATAAACATGGAAACAAAGAGAAGCTGCCAATTAACAGCTTCTCTCTGTTTACTTGTAAACTTGTAATTTGAAAAAAGCTTGTTAAAAATCAAAACTTGGAATAAAATGTCGTCTTCAATTACTTGATATGAACACCAACCACTGTATAAACATTACACCTGCAGCAGTTGAAAGAACTCCTAGAGTTCTCTTCTGTCTCTTGAGAGTGTTGATAGTTGCTCCTTGAGCACAGATAGCTCCAACAGCAACCAGGAATACGACCTAGCAACAAACAGAGGGTAAAGAAGGAGAAAGTAAAGTAAAATAACCTATCCCACCCAACCAACAAACTATTAATTCACTATCTCTCACTCATTTTACCCAACCCTTTGTTACATGTAGATTGACCCTCACCACGGAATTTTCTGACTTTAATTAGGCTCTATTTAGCTTTTCATAGAATAAAGGAAAGGAAAGGCCAACCATGTTGAGTTGCAAAGATATAGGAATTAGAAAATCAGAGTTTGTGGCAAAAACGCAATTCTTTTCTGAGTCACAAAACCAAGCAACGTGTTTTAGAATTCATTGACTTTAACCCTAAAAGAAAGGGAAAATATTTTTCAAAAGTTTACTAATATCCTGAACTTTTTTCTAGAGTTTAGGGTTGTTACCTTTGGGTTCATAGTTATTGTTGTAGTGAAGATCTGAATAAAAACATTGCCATGTTTTGTAGTTAAACACAAACAAAAGCTGTATACAAAGTGTAAACAATGAAGAAGTTTTATTATTTGCTAAAATTAGTTCATGGAACTGATAACTCGACTAAAACTTTTAAAATGCACCGCTGTTAGAAATAAATTCTTTTTAAGATTCCATTTCTATTTTAAAACTGTTCGTATATTTACAAAATCAAAACAAAAACAAATTTAAACGGAAAAAGTGCCAATATACCAATAAGAATGTTGGTAACAATTTGGAAAGGAACAAATATTTAGATATATTTTACTGTTGGCTTTAACTTTAAACAAAATAAAAGTTGAAAGTTTAACCCTAGTAGGACAGGGCAATGCCTGAAGATGTTTCCTGACGAAGGGTTAACCTGAGAATGAATTTGAAGCTGCAAATCTGGGTTTCTATACCCTTACTTGACATTGAGAAGGGGGGGGGGGGCACAGCGAGCGTCAGGCCATGGCTTAGAAGGGTTAACGGTAAGCTTGCGCGTGCGCGTTAGGAGAACAAGGCACAGGTTTGGTTAAAAAAAATATTTTTCCACATAAATTGTTGCCAACTCATAGAATTTGCTTGAAAAAATGTTTTAAAATGTTTTAGAAACGCCGGATCCCCCTCCCCCATCCCGCCCATCCTTTACAATCTTTTAAATATATACTTAAAAGTTAAGAGAAAGTTGGGATTTCCAATTTCCAGGTAGGACAGGGTTAAATGAGGGGGGGGGTATCTCCTCTATGCAGTTTATCAGTTTATGTATGTGGGTTACATTGAGATCACTGTGTACAATCTAAAGTTCACGCAGCTTTCAGAAGTGGTTTNGGGGGGGGTATTGGGTTAAAGGGAGGGTCAGTGTAGTTTAGCTGGAAAAGAAATCGAGAGTATCTTATTATAATTATAATTTTATAAGTATATTATTGGTCACCATTTCTTTTTATTTTATTAAATAATTCACTTTAAAATTACGCTTACTGTCCCTTTAAATGGTGAAAGCTTTTGGAAGTTGGACCGGGATTTTTCACTACATTTTTTTTCTTGATCATATGACAATGTCATAATTCCTTTGACATAGAAACGCAAACTTAAAGGGAGTGTTCGCGAAAAATGAAAGGGGGTATAGGGTTAATGCGATAAAAAAGCGCTTTTGATCGCTACTAATCTTACTTCTATCTGTTGCGTCTATAAGGTGAAAATTGTTAAAAACGACTCACACCATACAAATTCGGAAAGATGCAACATTCAACTAGGATCGTAAACAAATCAATTTAATTCCTAACAAATCATTCAGATATTACAAACAGTTGTCATCGATTATTTTTCGATGCATTCGTATATAGTTAATATTTCATAATATTTTTGATTTTTTTTTTTAAAATAATTTTCGCTGGTGTTGGATTTTCGAACATTCCTGGAAAATATGAAAATGTCGTCTTCATTAACAAAACTCCTCGAAACAGAAATAAATGTTTTAATAGTAACTCTCAGATCATGAAAAATACTAAATATTTTGAAATATTTACGAATGCATCAAAAAATAATCGATGACTATTGTTTGTAATATCTGAATGATTTGTTTGGAATTAAATTGATTTGTTTACGATCCGAGTTGCATCTTTCTGAATTACTTTCTAAAATAAAATAAATGCGCGCATAATGCATAATGTTTAAAGAATAAACATGTCTTTAAAAGTATTTTCAAAGTATTTTTAAATCACTATAAAGAAATACAAACATAAAGATTTAAACTTTTTAAACAACTTTCCAAGGGTATGGAGAAATGTCATGTAGCTTGAAAAAAAATTTCGTCCTCCAAGTTATGCTTTTCTGCACTTTTTCTGAGACACCCTGTGCAATTGAAAATTGACCTAAATCATTAGGATAAAAAGCTTATATATATATATATATATATATATATTACATATTTTCCCTTCTTTAATTAAATTAAAAACAAAATTTTTAGATCATACAATAAATAAACGGATTATAACGAGGCCCAACACTACTCTATCAGAAAAAGGTACACAAGGTATCACTGTGAATCAGGCAGGTAGCTCTTAACATGGAGGGTCACATGAAATTACGTCAATAGTCCCTTTATAAGGATTGATTTTATCCTGATTTACAGAATTCTTGCCAAAATAAAGGAAAGTGAAAATTTGTAAATTTATTTGTGATGGGTGGTGGGGGGGGGGGGTTGTCTTTAAATGTCTATTGTATACATTCAAATGAAGGGTAAGGGATTTGTATTGCGTATAGAGGGATTTTGCGGGGGGGTAGATTGGCATGTTCGTACAACCTAATAACATCCTGGAGATTTGAAATTAAAGGTCGGTTACAGATCAGTAGGTCACTAGGCGGCGGACGGGAAAAGTTTAATAATTATCTTAATTTGAAAATAATAATTTTAATAATGATAGAGAAAACATGGCCAATGAAAAAGATTCTAATGTAGGAGATAATGATTAAGTTTGTATTAGTGAAAATATACTTGATAAAGTTTAGAAATATGTACGCCAAAGTTTTGAATCCGCTCTGGTGGGATTCAATATCCATGATGGATTCAGGAACCAGGACTTAAGATTTCTAAGAAATTCCATATTCAATTTCAAGATTGCAATTTCTTAATAATACTAAGCCGTCAATCCTCTCTCCCCCATCCCCCCCTTATCCCCTCAACCTGTCAACCCATCAACCTTCATCCCTTCTACCTGTCAACCCATCAACCTTCAATCTGATATTTGCAGAATAATTTCACTTTTATGTCTAAAATTTTCTTATTTGCGTTTACTCTTCTCTTACTTTTCCAGAATTCCTATCCTTCTCCCTCTTCTTCCTATCATATTTCCGCATTCAACCTTCCCACAATCCTATCATTCTCCCTCTTCTTCCTATCATATTTCCGTATTTTACCCTTACCACAGGCCACAATCCTATCCAACTTTCTTTCCTTCCTATTATGGTATTCCTACATTACTAGTTAATTTTCCCATCCTGAAATGCCTTTCCTGCCTTCCTATTTTACCTTTCATTCATCCTTCTTTCTTTCCTATTATGCTTCTCCTACCTTCTTATTCTCACTTCTATATATCTATTCTCCCTATTTTGTTCAATTTTAAAGAAATATTTAATATCCAGTTTGTCATTTTTATGTAAATGAAAAATATCTATTGAATAAAAAAATTCAATTTTAAAAAATACTTACCAACATTTTCAACTCAATAAAAAGACGACAAAAAAAGAAAAAAAATCCGGTAAGTCTTTGCAGCAAAAAAAAACTATAACTCGCACTGAAGTTTCACTATTATTATCATTATCATTTAAAATTTTTGTTAACATTTTTCGAGGATTAAAACACAACAGGTACATACATGGTATGTATTAAGGTCACAAAATATATAATACATGTAAAATGTAATTGTACAGAATGCAGAAATTTGTTGTGAACTAGTCGTCGGTCATCAATTTTTTTTCTTCCTCAAGAAATAATATTAATATTGTAATGTAGGAGTTTGTCTAATGTGGGGGGGGGGGGCTCAGTCCACGTTGGGGACTAAATCCCCCTAAAAATCATGGTTTTCACTGCAATAGGATTTAGCATCTCTTTGAGCAAGATAATTTGCAAGCTTGAGTTACTCTAGTTCCAAGATTTCCCGGGCAGCCAGTTTCACATGCTCCCTTCGATCCCCCTAAACACATTAAAAATTAAAATTCATTGACTCATATTTTTCAACTCCATTACCTGGACATCCTTTGGCATTTTTCCCTGCACCATTCTCCGTACTTTTTGTCTGATTACCCCCTTTTCCTCCTGTACTTCCGCTTCTATTGTTTACTTGATTTTGTCCAGCACCATTATTCTTTGTATTGCCTCCTCTTCGAGAAGATGAGCTTGTATTTTTCTGAGGCTTTTTTCCTTTTATGGAACTGTTCTGGTTAGATGATCGGCTGTTGACGCCATTTTTAACAGCATTCTGTGATCTTAGAGCAGAATTTCTATTCCCTTTCTTAGAATTTTGATTGATTCGTTGAGCCTGGCTACCTTGTGTTAATTGACCACCACGTGTTGTTTGACCATGACCACCTCCTTGAGTTTGACCAGCACTTGGTGCTTGGACGTCATGTTGAGATGACTCATCGTTATAATCATAATCTGAGCTTGTCCCTTTGTCTTGCGGGCAGGCAGGGCTGCAGTTAAGTCCACTGCTCCCATCCGCGGCATTCTGCGCAACATGAATCTGGTTTTTTGTTTCATCTCCAGCCATATTCCAGGTAAGAGGACTACTGCGGGGTACAGCCTTTACAAATTCAAATAAAAAAGGAAGAACATTAGAAACTCTATCAAATTTATATAGCTAATAGTTTTATCAACTAAAATATTATCTAAAAAATTATTGAATATTTATAAACTTCTACCTGGCTGATGTGGATCTGTGAGTTAACGGGCTTCTTCATCATAACCTCCATAGGACTGTTGGTTGGGATATTTTGGCTGACATGGAGGAAGCTTACTCTTGCATTATCCATAATCACCTAAACATCTACTCTAGTAGAATACAATTATCCATAATCACCTAAACATCAACTATAGTAGAATACAATTATCCATAATCACCTAAACATTTACTCTAGTAGAAACAATTATCCATAATCACCTAAACATCTACTCTAGTAGAATACAATTATCCATAATCACCTAAACATCTACTCTAGTAGAATACAATTATCTATAATCACCTAAACATCTACTATAGTAGAATACAATTATCTCTATAGTCAACTAAACATCTACTCTAGTAGAATACAATTATCCATAATCACCTAAACATCTACTCTAGTAGAATACAATTATCTATAATCACCTAAACATCTACTATAGTAGAATACAATTATCTATAATCACCTAAACATCTACTCTAGTAGAATACAATTATCTATAATCATCTAAACATCGACTCTAGTAGAATACAATTATCCATAATCACCTAAACATCTACTATAGTAGAATACAATTATCTATAATCACCTAAACATCTACTCTAGTAGAATACAATTATCTATAATCATCTAAACATCGACTCTAGTAGAATACAATTATCCATAATCACCTAAACATCGACTCTAGTAGAATACAATTATCCATAATCACCTAAACATCTACTCTAGTAGAATACAATTATCTATAATCACCTAAACATCTACTCTAGTAGAATACAGTTATCCATAATCATCTAAACATCTACAATAGTAGAATACAATTATCTATAATCACCTAAACATTTACAGGGTCACCCACAATGGATGAGACTGTAAAGACGACCTGAAAATCTTAAATTGTTGTTAAATCTTTGCCATGAATTTAGTCTTAATTAATAGTCATAATAAATGATTTGGGGAAAAAAGAAACAATTTAAAAGTTTCCAGGATTCATAAATATAAGGAAACATAGAGTATACATTTCGTACAGTCTTCTCTGAAGTCTCATCCTTTGTGGTTAACCCTGTACTATAGTAGAAATTTTTTAAACAATTCAAAATTGCAGGAACAATTTAATTACTTCTCAACTTTCATCCTAATTTTTTTCTCCTAAAACTTAAAGAAATAAAAGATTAACCTTGACTGGCGTATTTACAGGATTTTGGAAGGAAACATGTACAGTTGTGTTGTACGTTCCATCTATCATAACCTGTGTACAATCGACTCAATTTATGTTTCATACAAAGTTGTACAATTACTGTACATTTTTGTCTGCAGTCGAGAAAATAAAACCAATTTTAGATCATTTTATTTTCTAATCTTGTAACATAAAGAGATTGTAAACATAATTTTAGATTATTTTATTTTCTAATTTTGTAACATAAAGAGATTGTAAACGTAATTTTAGATTATTTTATTTTCTAATTTTGTAACATAAAGAGATTGTAAACGTAATTTTAGATTATTTTATTTTCTAATTTTGTAACATAAAGGGATTGTAAACGTAATTTTAGATTATTTTGTTTTCTAATTTTGTAACTTAAAGAGATTGTAAACGTAATTTTAAATGAAATTTACAACAGTCCCAATTAAAAGCTTTGTATGGTCAAGAATGGGTTCTCTCTAACTTCAATTTTCAAGCTTATGATATGAATATATATACTCCCCAATATTAATCATATAAAGGTTTAAATGGTTCCGGGCATTGCCTTCTTTATATGGAAGGTAACTTGAAATGGGGACGGGAGTCAGATTTAAGATGTACTTTTATAAACAAAAGGAATTGAGTTTTGCCACAAACTGAAATCTTCTAATCCCAATATCTTTGCAACCTGATGGTGCAAACCTTTTATATTTCAAACTCAAATTATTTTATCTATAAGTATTTATAGTTTGAAAAGGTCTACGACATTGGGTTACAAAGATATAGAGATTAGAAAATCATAGTTTGTGGCTAAAACTCAACTCATTTTTTAAAAAAAATCTTAAAATGATCCGTTCCTCGCATTCACTGTTGGTCATCCCGTTGAAGCTGAAAAAATAATAGTTTTAACACATACAAACGATTTAGACAATTGTGTTCAGGTATTAATCACTTTTTTTAAAGGGTTTATCAGCAAAGGATGAGACTTTAAAGGGTTTATCAGCAAAGGATGAGACTTTAAAGGGTTTATCAGCAAAGGATGAGACTTTAAAGGGTTTATCAGCAAAGGATGAGGCTTTAACGACGACCAAAACTCTTTAAAAATGGCGATCCTACTTAGTCTTCTGCCTTTGATAAATAAAGATTATTTACTAAATGATTTTTAAAGGATACAAATTTAGTTTTAATCTATAAATGTAAAAAAATGGACTGAATAAATTCTCTACAATGGTTTCTGAAGTCTCATCTCTTGTGGATAGGAAAAACTGCAGAATTTTAACGAACTTTAAGGAGATTACCCAGTACGGTAAACTGTACAGTTTAAGGTAAACTGTACAGTATACGGCATACTGTACAGTTTACATTATACTGTACAGTGTACATTATACTGTCCAGTGTACATTATACTGTCCAGTGTACATTATACTGTACAGTGTACGGCATACTGTACAGTGTACATTTTACTGTACAGTGTACATTATACTGTCCAGTGTACATTATACTGTACAGTGTACATTAGACCTGAGTCTGAAGGAGGAATATCTCCGGTATTCATTGTTTAAACTTGAAAAATATCACTGAGATGAGATGGCTGTGTTTTTATTTTTACCACAGTTGTTTCTTGAATTTATAGGATAAATTCTCACGTCAGGGTCACCAGTATAGAAGTCTCAATAACTCAGAATGATAACACATTTTCACAAGTTTATTTATTCATATAATACTCGTTTAACATACTAAGAATGACTAGTGTAAAATTATTCTGTCCAGTGTACATTACACTGTACAGTGTATATTATACTGTACAGTGTACATTATACTGTACAGTATACATTATACTGTACAGTGTACATTATACTGTACAGTGTACATTATACTGTACATTGTGCACTGTACTATACAGTGAACATTATACTACCCAGTGTACACTGTACATTCATGGTTAAAAAGTTGTCAGTGTAGATATCGAGATCAAGCCTTGTAGGTCAAGTTTTGACCTCAGTTTAGTTTTTATAAAAAGAAAAATTTACCTGATATGAAGTTGAAGATTAACTGCATCAGTCATCTTTACCTTTACCTACCATTTATTTAGTTTAACCATAGGAATTCTTCTTTTGTTTTTTTATTTCCATCTTTTGTAATACAATTTACAAAAATTATCAAATTAGAGGGTTTAAGGGCAGCAATTTATTTTTAAATATTTTTATTAAATCTCTAAAAACATGTTGTTTAAAATAATCATTAACTCGGTTACCTCGATTGTTTGAAAAATTTACAGTGATAACCAGAAAACTCTGGAATAGGAAGACGACTTTTAGCCTCAATTTTTGAATTTAAATAGTCCAATATGAATGGGATACTGTAACTGTGTAGTGTAAACAGACCCATTTCACTTAATTTGTGATTTAATAAGTGTCTAGTAAAACTATTTGCTTTGAAACAATATCAAATACACTTAAGTAGTGCTATATAGATGTCTTCCTATTTTAGAGTTTTCTGGTTATCACTGTATAAGAATGTTACTACCTTCGAATCTTTGCCTACATTAAGGCTGATGTGAACTGAAGTATTGTATGGTTTGGTTTGGGTTATAGAAATATCACTTCCGTCGGGGTTGTTATGGGCAACATGTATTGAGTTGCTGTTTGGATTGCTCTGAGATATTGACACCTAAAACAATATCTTTATTTTCAGCACCCATTGTGAATCGACCTATAAGTCCTACTACCCGACTTAGTACGGGGTGTGCCATCAAACATGAAGATTAAAGACGACCTTGAGATCATCTTAGATCTTTGATACCTGGATATCAAGTGCGTCTTGAATCAAGTATCAGAAAAAAAGCTTTTTTCTAGTGTATTAAAAAGGCATGGTCAGATTTTTTGTTCTTTCAGAGCCGGAAATGTAAATAATTTTGTTCATATGTTTAACTTGAATTTAAAAAAAACCTCACAAACATTAAATATCTTCGATAAAGGAGAAAGTTTATATTCTGGAATCTTATATGTCGTGCAGCTTGTTTTTTTATATGACATTAATATATTAAAGACGATCTTAAAGTTGTCTCTAAATTGGGATGTTTAGTGGGAAACCCTGTGTATCTGTAATTATTTTATTTATTAGAGAGTCAGAATTCAATTGGACTGAGCAGTCATATACAGGGATACCCACGAAGAATAAGACTCCAAAGACGATTTATTGTACGGAATTCATAATGACTCGGTTCTTATATATATGATTCTCTGCAACTGTAAACTTATTTCTTCTCTTGCCAAATCATTTTTCAGGACAGAAGACTTATTTTAACCCCAGGATTGTCACATTTGAAGGATTTTAGGTCGTCTTTGCATTCTTATATTTTGTGGGTAACCCCGTTCATAAACGCAAGCAGTACAAGTTAATCCATCATTAAAAATATTTCTGCTGAATTGTGTGAGAAATAATTCGATTAACAATTAAATTTGCCAGTTAAAAAAATAAACGTAACTTTAAAAATGTAACAAATTAGAAAATTTGCTTCAAAGAATAAAAGTGCCCTCATAATATATATATAGATATGGAATTCAATCGAGGTGTACGCGAAACTAAAACTTCAGGGTCTAGGCTGCATGGGGCACTGCACCCTTGCCCTCATAACCTCTTCAATATGATAAAACCATACCCCCTACCCCCCCTTCCCCCCACCACTCTCCCTCAATCCACACTTTACTGTGTTAATGCCAAGTTTATTTCTTATCGTTCTTGCACGAGGTTTAGAGGAGTGCCGGCTAAACTTTACAAGCTCTCTATATTACATAAACAGGGTTAACCACTAAGTATCAAATTTTTAGGAAGACGACCTTTTTTCCATTGAGTTCAATGTTTTTGAATATTTTTGTTTTTCTGCTTAATCTCATGTTTGAAAGCTGTACAATCTTATGTTTGAAAGCTGTACAGTCTACAGGTTTAATCCTTTTTAACGCAGAACTAGCTAGAGCAAGTGTTTCCCAGAAAAATGAAGAAAAAAAAATCAGTAACGCTTTGCTCAGTCATAAAATTGGGTAGCAGAGGCGTACACAGGGACACTGTAGTTTCAGTAGAAGTAAATATTTCCCTTTAGTGTCTAGCCGATTTCAGGATTCATCTCTAATTGGATAATGAGCTAGATAGAAAGATAGATGATACTGCAGTGTAATTTCTATTGGTTCAGAATAGACAACGAACACATGACTGAACCCTGATTGGATCAGGCGCTAATGGGAGAGTGAAACTTGTTTTTTTCCAGGGGTTTTAAGGCCCAAACGGGTATTGAACCCCCCCCCCCCGGAAAAAAAATGTAAACCCTTGGCAAAATTCCTGTCCTGTATGTCCCTTTAAAGTTACAATAGCAGTTACCTTTTCCCCCTTTGGTTGATCTTTGCTCATCTCAATATCTTCATAATTTTGAGGCAAACAGTCCGCTAAACCAACTACCAAAACCTTTATATTAAAGATTCTTTTTGTTTAATGTTTCGCTAAATACATCAAGATAACACTTAATTATAAAGAAAAATCAACATCAAAAAGTTTAGAAATGTGCTTTAATTTGTAAAAAAAAATAATTAAGTTTGCAAATAGCAATATCCAATAAATGCAGTCGTCCTTTTATACCAATAAACTAAATGGAGAAATAAGTAAAAAAAAGACAATCTCCTTATGATATTTTCACAACAACTAAAAATGATTTGGTTTAAGCAATCAAACTATTGTAAAGATTGAAATTTTTAATTTTCTAATCATTAAATATAATTTTGCAATTTGATGCTGCAGATTATTTCAAACTACTATAGACATATGCCATATCAAATAGAATAGTTTAAAATATCAAATGGAATAGTTTAAAATATCATATAGAATAGTTTAAAATATCAAATATTTACAACACCAAATTTCAAGATAAGGGTATTAGAAAAATAAAGATTATGTTGAGTGTTCTGCTCCTCTATGATATGAATTTACAAATGTAAAATTATTTTTTTTAAACAAAGGAATTGAGTCTTTGACACAAACTCAAATTTTCTAATCCCTATATCTTTGCAACTTGATGGTGTTCACTTTTGAAATATCAAATTTGGATAATTTGATCTAACAGAATACATATAGTTTGAAATTTCTAAGGTCTACGACATCGGATTGCAAAGAAATAAGGATTAGAAAGGTAGAATTTTTGGCAAAGACATCTCTAATAAAGACAAATTACGCCATAAATGGAATGAGCATTAGAAAAAATCAGTTTTTAAACTTTCCAAAAAGAAAAATGAGACAAACATTGGTTTATCTCAGGAATTTAACATAATCATTTAACATAATCATTTAACATAATCATTTAACATAATCATTTAACATAATCATTTAACATAATCATTTCAGATTTCATTCATTTTTTTATTCTAATGTAAAAATATTCTTGGGTTTATATATGTTTTCTTCAAATAAAATTATTGCACTTTTAAATACAATAATTCTATCTCAATAAAACTTGTAAAATTAAAATTTTACAAACTATTCTACACTACTGTACAGTGTACAACTGTACATACCAAGATTGCTAATTTTATCTGTACTGCTCTCATGGTGGTTTATTAAACACTGCGTAAAACTGTTTGGTTTAAATTTGATTCAAGATGTTCCATGATTGGCTGAATACCAATATATTTAAACTAGTATATATATAGGTGTGTCAACAAAGAGAACAAGGGACTTATCGTGAAATCTAGACCCTATGCTTTCTATTTTTGTTTTAGGGGAGAGGGACGAGGGGAGGCTAGAGTTACAAAATAAAAATTATAATTTGTTTTTCTTTTTAGAAAATACTATGATTACTCCTGACTTTAAATTATAAGAATTCATGAATAGTCCGTTTAATGATTAAATGACATTTTGATCCCATCCATTTCTTAAATTCAGGGCACCCCGGCTCTTTCTAATAATTTACAGCCTTTTGTTACTGATCTTAGACCATAGATATCTATAGTCAGAGTTGATGATATATCTACAAGCCTTTTCTTTATACTTTGTAAGGTGATAATAAAACATTTCGCGGTTTTATTGGTGAATTATTTTAGAATCAAAATATTTTGGAAGCAATTTTCATTTCGACCGGCAATAATAACCATTTCCTAAGGTTAACAACAAATTTGGGCCTGATTGCAGTTTTTCCGTTTTTAACAAGAATTGCGACAAATGATGCATTAATAAGTCTATATAGCAATCATGGAAATTAATTTCTTTAGAATTTTAAGGCTATACTGATTTCTCCTCAATGCATTCAACTTATTGAGTTAAAAAAGCTTTAACACATAGCAAAGAGCTGAGTGAGGGTTGGGTTGGGCGGATACTGCAGATAGAGGAGGTTTAGGAGATTCTCTCCGTCTCAGTTTTCAGAGATTAGTCTCTCCGGTCTTACAGGAGGAAGAACAGTTCTTCTTCTTCTTCTTCTTCTTCTTCCTCTTCTTCTTCTTCTTCTTCTTCTTCTTCTTCTTCTTCTTCTTCTTCTTCTTACACCTAGTTTATATATAATCTACAGAGTACACAGTGCACCTAGTTTATATATAATCTACAGAGTACACAGTGCACGTAGATTATATGTAAGCTACAGAGTACACAGTGCACCTAGATTATATATAAGCTACAGAGTACACAGTGCACATAGTTTATATACAATCTACAGAGTACACAGTGCACCTAGATTAAATATGATATACAGAGTACACAGTACACCTAGATTATACATAATCTACAGAGTAAACAGTGCACCTAGTTTATATATAATCTACAGAGTACACAGTGCAACTAGTTTATATATAATCTACGGAGTACACAGTACACCTAGTTTATATATAATCTACAGAGCACACAGTGCACCTAGATTATATATAATCTACAGAGTACACAGTGCACCTAGATTATATATAATCTACAGAGTACACTGTACACCTAGTTTATATATAATCTACAGAGTACACAGTGCACCTAGATTATATATAATCTACAGAGTACACAGTGCACCTAGTTTATATATAATCTGCAGAGTACACAGTGCACCTAGATTATATGTAATCTACAGAGTACACAGTACAACTAGTTTATATATAATCTACAGAGTACACAGTGCACCTAGTTTATATATAATCTACAGAGTACACAGTATACATAGTTTATATATAATCTACAGAGTACACAGTACAATAGTTCATATATAATCTACAGAGTACCCAGTTTAAAAATAATATACAGAAGAATGCAAATTGTACTTAGATTTTAAAATCTACATAAAGGTCCTAAGTAGAGGTTCTAGAGCATATGGTTTTTATTCTCAATATTTTCAGAAATTACTGAAATGTGAATAATGGATGAATTGGTGAAATAAATAATGATAATGGAGTATACTTCTACTTTTCTTGTTCTAGCTCAGCTGGTCAACTCAGGTTAGTACAAGTATATTCATCTCGTTCATCATCCACAAGTAATTATTTCTCTGATTCACAACGGTACCCTTGAAAGCTTTGTCTGGTACAGAATGTTATTTCTTAGATAAATTTTAGTTGCAGTTTAGTTTCTTTATAAGTGTCACTTACGGACTTCTGCTGCAGAAACCACCATATTCTCTAAATTACTGAAGGTTGAAAATTTACTGTTGTGAATCTGAGGAAGAGATTCACTTGAAACTACAACAATAGATCCTTGTTGAATCTAAAACATGCTTTAAATAATTTTATGTTATTCTATGTTTAATATTGTCTCCTGCCTTTATAAATGTCTTGGCATAGGAAGAAGAAATAAACAACTTTACAGTTTTTTTTGTGTTTAGATATTTTATGGAAGTAAAGACATTTCATATATATCATACCAACCACTCTCAAACTTTACATCTTCATATCTTATCCATCATTCATATTTCATTCTACTCTCTTCATTTTTCATCAACTTTACATTACCTTTTCATTCATTCTTTATCTTTAATATCACATCCTTCATCCCTTCCATTCATCCTTTCCTCTCCTATTCTTGATCTTTTCATACTTTCCCCTCTTATTCTTGATCTTTCCATCCTTTCCCCTCTTACTCTTGATCTATCCATACTTTCCCCTCTTATTCTTGATCTATCCATCCTTTCCCCTCTTATTCTTAATCTTTCAATACTTTCCCCTCTTATTCTTGATCTTTCCATACTTTCCCCTCTTATTCTTGATCTATCCATCCTTTCCCCTCTTATTCTTGATCTATCCATCCTTCCCCCTCTTATTCTTGATCTTTCCATACTTTCCCTCTTATTCTTGATCTATCCATCCTTTCCCCTCTTATTCTTGATCTATCCATCCTTCCCCCTCTTATTCTTGATCTATCCATAATTTCCCCTCTTATTCTTGATCTATCCATACTTTCTCCTCTTATTCTTGATCTTTTCATCCTTTCCCCTCTTATTCTTGATCTTTTCATCCCTCTTATTCTTTATCTATCCATACTTTCTCCTATTATTCTTGATCTTTTCATCCTTTCCCCTCTTATTCTTGATCTTTTCATACTTTCCCCTCCTATTCTTGATCTATCCATACTTTCCCCTCTTATTCTTGATCTATCCATCCTTTCCCCTCTTATTCTTGATCTATCCATACTTTCCCCTCTTATTCTTGATCTATCCATACTTTCTCCTCTTATTCTTGATCTTTTCATCCTTTCCCCTCCTATTCTTGATCTATCCATCCTTTCCCCTCTTATTCCTGATCTATCCATCCTTTCCTTTCCTATTCTTGATCTATCCATCCTTTCCCCTCTTATTCCTGATCTATCCATCCATTCCTCTCCTATTCTTGATCTATCCATCCTTTCCCCTCTTATTCTTGATCTATCCATGCTTTCCCCTCTTATTCTTGATCTATCCATACTTTCCCCTCTTATTCTTGATCTATCCATACTTTCCCCTCTTATTCTTGATCTATCCATCCTTTCCCCTCTTATTCTTGATCTATCCATCCTTCCCCCTCTTATTCTTGATCTATCCATAATTTCCCCTCTTATTCTTGATCTATCCATACTTTCTCCTCTTATTCTTGATCTTTTCATCCTTTCCCCTCTTATTCTTGATCTTTTCATTTTTTCCTCTCCTATTCTTGATCTATCCATCCTTTCCCCTCTTATTCTTGATCTATCCATGCTTTCCCCTCTTATTCTTGATCTATCCATACTTTCCCCTCTTATTCTTGATCTATCCATACTTTCCCCTCTTATTCTTGATCTATCCATCCTTTCCCCTCTTATTCTTGATCTTTTCATACTTTCCCCTCTTATTCTTGATCTATCCATCCTTCTCCTTCTTACTGAATATATTATCCATCTATTTCAAGAATATGTTTAAATTCTATCAAATTCTGAATTTCCGGAAGTCTCTCATAAAATCCTCGTAAAAAAGAACTCAACTACAGAACCACTCTAGTCCGTACATCGTACAATGTGTACATAACTTTTATGTTTTTAAATGCTGTCTGTATGTCTGTTAGCCGAACAATCTTTTCCATACTTCGCTTAAGTAGCCTAAGATTTTGAATAGAAATCAGTGTTCTTCAGGATCTTTTAGGCAAATATGAATGAATGAAGGATTTAATGAACAGAGCAATTTTATTTCACAGAGCAATTTTATTTTTCACAAAGCAATTTTATTCTAACTATGTAAATTGCTACAATATTGTAGCCCATATATCCTTACGAAAATAAAAAAATATTTCGTTTAAAAAAATGAATTAATGAACGAAGTAAAATGTTTATTGTTGATTATGCAAAGTTTTTGAATATTGAAATTTTTGAAGTTTTGAAATATTTTAAATATTAAATCATCCTCCACAGTAAACTGTTAATAATTATTTGATGCTAGAGGTTTAGCGGTCCAACGTTGAGCTCTCATAAAACGACTAGTATAATCTTACATCCAACAGTTATGAAAACTGAGTTGTTTGATTTTAAAATAGAATTCCAGTAATGTACTTGGGAATGGAGAACCCAGCACACAAAGTTTATAATTTTGTATGTTTTATTATGTTATGTTATAATAATAGAGGGAAGGGGATAGAATCAAGATTTACCAAGAAAAGCATTTTTTATTTATACAATGAAAATGACAATATTCTTCAAGAATTTTTTTTAAAAACTTGTTAGGGAGCATAGAGATTTTATTTCCAATGGAATAGAGATCTAGGTCCATGGAAGAAAAATCGTATGAAAACTTTGTAGATACTAATTGTAAACTAATTTTAACTTATAACTTTTTGTTCTATTTGGTTCTTCGCTGAAGCTATGAACCTGCCATAGAAGATAATGATAGCTTTCCATTCATATATTTAAACATATAAATAGAAGTGTTAAATTTGATCATGTGTTTTATATTTAGAATCTCAAGTTTCAGAAAAAGCGGATTTTTGTCACGTGTGTGCAACATGAAATCTGCTAGAACTCGTAGAGCTTTTCTTCTGAAGAGTAGATATAATTTACCTGATTTACTATTTACTGACGGACCCCAAGATAAAATACCATACTCTAGTTTACTTTTAATAATATTAATTTATTAATTTATTATTTATTTTATTAATATCGCACTTCAAATTTCAGCACATATGTGGTCTAATTAAAAAAATTCCATTTTAGAAACAATCTTTAATTTGTATTGTTGATAAAAAAGTCATCTATTTTTAGAAACATTAAGAGTAAGTTTGCTTGAAATTCTCCTAAACATACATATTGCGTTCATACATAAACATACATAAACATACATAAACATACATAAACATACATATTGCGTTCTATTTGTTAAATAATTTCGAAACCGTTCGTTGGTGATACCTATAAAACCATAATGTTCGTGGATCATCCATCATGTTCGTGGATCATCCATCATGTTCATGGATCATCCATCATGTTCGTGGATCATCCATCATGTTCGTGGATCATCCATCATGTTCGTGGATCATCCTTCATGTTCGTGGATCATCCATCATGTTCGGCTAATTTAGAAAAGAAAAGAAAACATTTTTTGAGACGTCATTATTATTGCCGAGTTTTTGCAAATTCGAACCCTACTCCAAATATACACAAATAGTTTAAAGGAATTGATTCTTTGCCGTGCAAACTGAAAAATTCTAATCCCTACATCTTTGCAACCTGATGGGTTAAACCTTTGATATTTCAAAATTAAATCATTTGAACTATCAGAATTCATAGTTTGAAATATCTAAGGTCTACAACATTGGGTAGCAAAGATATTGGGTTTAAAAAACTCACAGTTGGCGACAAAGACTCAATTCTTTTGTTCATTTTTGTGCCTAAAATCAAAACTAGAAGTGATTCGAGATAACAAAGTCAAACAATAATGTTGCATGAATATGACCTTCTCATTCTGTCCTGCTAGCAAAGACTGCATGTCAACCAGAAGATGGTTACATAAAAACAAATTTTGGTCGTCATTTAAGCCTCATCTTTTGTGGGTAACCCAGTAGAGATTCTAGTTTTTATGAAAGGTAGTTTGTGAATTATTGGTCTAAACTGTTCATTATAAAATAAAATTAAGCCTTTATGGAAGCCATTAATTAGTAACTTCAGAAACTAAAGGGTTTACATTATACGGTACTAAATAGGGTGTAGAGAATAGAAAAAATTATAAATATCTATAACAAAACCATCTGGAAATTGTCATACCTTGTTTTCACTTCATGATTAACCCCCTGTCCCCTCTATATATTTAACCCCATGTCCCCTCTATATAACTAACCCCCTGGCTCCTCTATATAATTAACCCTCTGTCCCCTCTATATAATTAACCCCCTGTTTTCTCTATATAATTAACCCCCTGGCTCCTCTATATAATTAACCCTCTGTCCACTCTATATATTTAACCCTCTCTCCACTCTATATAATTAACCCTCTGTTCACTCAATATAATTAACCCTCAGTCCACTCTATATAATTAACCCTCTGTCCACTCTATATAATTAACCCTCTGTCCACTCTATATATTTAACCCTCTGTCCACTCTCATTAATTAACCCCCTGTTCCCTCTATATAATTAACACTCTGTCTTCTCTATAAAATCAACCCCCTGTCCCCTCTATATAATTACTCTCCTGTCCCCTCTATATAATTACCCTCCTGTCCCCTCTATATAATTAACCATCTGTTCCCTCTATATAATAAACTATCTGTCCCCTCTATATGATTACACCTCTGTCCCCTCTATATGATTACCCCTCTGCCCCCTCTATATAATAAACTATCTGTGTTGTTGAAGGGCTTGAGAAATCTTTCATCTAAGAAACTCTATTCTTTATATCCTAACAATAGACCAAATCAAGAATAAGGGTTTCTAAAACATTTTTTAGATTAAAGAAATTTCTGTCAGATTTAACATATGTTGATGTAAACTTTGGGAATTTTAACCCTTGAAACCTGATATCCTTGGCTTTTGATTGTTTAATCTATGAATTTTGCTAGATCAAAGTTGAAAGTATCAAATGTTTACATTATTAGGTTTGAAAACTGTAGGGATTAGAAAATTTGAAGATGAGGCGAGTGATCATTTTTTTAAATATCTTATTTTAGTGAGAGCTTTGAGTTGTGTTCAGTGCAACACAGATGTCTCTGCAGTCTGTTCTTTAAACCCTCCACCTCCCAGGTATAAACTGCGTTTAATAAACTAAAAATTTGTTTTAAAAATTATTATGATAATACGTTTAACAGAAATATTGTAGTGGAAAGTCTTTGTTTTTTTCTATTAAATATTTGTGATTTTTTTTAGTTTAACCTTTTTTTAAAAAATTTGCTCTGAAGTCAGAACTTGTGTGTGCACTTTGGGATCAAGCTCTGATCTGCATCTTATGTAGATCTACAGATTAATTTGACTCATCTTCGATATCCCGTGATGGCTATACCCTGCAGGGATAACTTTAATTATGGAAGCAAGTATTAATCCTCAAAGTGCTCACATGGATATAGAGATCAAACGTTCAAGATAAATGATAATAATATCCGCACTAAAGTCTTGATCTCTGAACATTGTAAGATTACAAGGAATCTGAGTATTTACCTAAAACTAAAATTATCTAAGGCACATCTCTGGATATGTGTAGACCTTTAGTATTTCAAACTAGGAGTTCTGTTAGATCAAATACTTCTAAGTTTAAAATATCAAAGGTTTACATAAGGTTGGAAAGTAAATATGTGGTTGTGGTAAAAACTTGATTCCTTACAACACTCTTAGATAAATATCATGGTTTGAAGAAAAAAGTACGAAGATAACAAATAATTTCCACAGCTATCTCAAAAGGATTAATCAACAGATAAAAAGTTTATTTTAGAGATTGTACCTCCGATTCGAAGTTTTGCCTGACTTTAAAAGAGTTTGATAAAGTAAAAGGTAAATTAAAGTTGTTGTATAGTTGTTGTATAGTTGCTGTATAGTTGTTGTATAGTTGTTATATAGTTGTTGTATAGTCGTTGTATAGTTGTTGTATGGGCTGAAAATTTGGTTTGGCTGTCTCCGACAGGAGATTCAAGTTGAAGACGACATTTTATAGAGGTTTTAAAATTAATGGTTAACAACTATGTCTTAGTCAACATTTTGCAGTGTAATAAAAGCAAACTTTATAACTAGTATTAAACTTCACATATTTTAAAAGAGCCTCATAATTCCGAAACATCTGAAGATGAATTTTAAATTACAGTTTATCCATTTATAATTTTAATAAAAAATGCAACAAAAAAAATACGACTGAAACCTTGAAAAGACGAAGGAAAAACGGCTGATGTACATCATTAAAAATTTTCAGAACCAAAACCCATCAAAACCCTGCCGTTGTCCCTGTTCTTGAAAAGTCTGTAAAATATTTAAAACATAATAAACTAAATCTTTTCACAAACAATACAGTGGAGTGGATCCAAGTGCTCTAAATATACGGAATACAGATATAAAGAGATAATATATTCTCATCTTTTTGACATTTCTATTGAATCAGGCATTTACATTTATCTAGACTAATATCTCTTTAGAAATATATTTTTATTTATATACTTTACCCTTTACCTAGTCTACTTCATTTTTTTTTGCATTCCCTGCCCTGTTTCTCAGTTTTCCCCCAACCTTTTACCCCTCCTTTACTCCTCCTTTTACCCCTAATTCACTCCCCCTTTTACCCCTCCCTCACTCCCGCTTTTACTCCTCCTTTACTCCTCCTTTCACCCCTCCTTTACACCTCCTTTATCCCTAATTCACTCCCCCTTTTACTCCTCCTTCCCTCCCCATTTTACCCCTCCTTCACTCCCCCTTTAACCCCTCCTTCAATCCCCCTTTTACCCCTCCTTCACTCCCCCTTTTATCCCTCTTTTATTCCCCCTTTTACCCCTCCTTCACGCTCTGAGCTAAAGCTAACCTAGAGAAGTTGCTTTAAAGAAAGTGGAGACACCAGATAGAGTTATAATCTCTATCTCATTTAATCCCCGATTGCCTTGTATCTCCTCCATCATACAGAAACATTGGAGAACCATGGTCGAGGATCCTTGGATGAAGGAGGTTTTTCAAAATCCACCTATGGTTACCTATAGGAGACCTCCTAATCTCAGGGATAAACTTATCCGAGCCAGAATTCCAGATCTCCTAGATCTCTCAAAGAGGCTAATACCTGGTATGAAACCTAGTGGTTTAAATTGCCCAACTTGTCCCTTCATAGAGCCTGGAACAGTTATACAATCCTCTAATACCAGCAAGAAGATTAAGATTAATGGAATTTTCAACTGTATAAGACCAGAAATGTAGTTTACTGTATTACATGTGAGCAGTAAAAACTACAATATATAGGACAGACAACAAGATCTTTAGGTGAAAGAGTGAGAGAACATATTGGTTACATTAGAAATCTCCATACAAACCAGCCTACAGGAGAACATTTTAACCTTCCTGGACATGAACTCTACTATCTATGACTGAACTCTAACCTTTCTCCGCTGAACTCAGAGAAATGAACAGTAAAAAATTGTTTTTATTTAATTGTAAACTGTAATTCAGTATTTTTTTAAAAAGAGTATTGTTTATGTCAAATTCTTTAAAAGGTTAAAATACCCCTCCTTAAATAATAATTTGCAACTACTTTGCACGGAAAATAAGGGAATTTTACTTTACCAAGGGTTTCTAAGGCCAATTTTTTCTACAAAACATCCAAAGAGCAGCGAAGGGATGTTTTGCGAGCGAAAATGGTTAATTGAAAATTTCACTTTCAATTTCATAGTCTTTTGAGATGAAAATGCGCAATTTTTTCACACGAAAACTTTGCAGAGCGGGTTGTATTTTACTTAATTGTCCCAAGGGACGTAAAGTAACCTCTGATGGGTGAATCATAGGTCGGTCATGTTGGTAAAAAGTAGGTAAAACATTTTTAAGCAAAACAAGCCTTCAGAGGAAAGATTTGTTATGATATTCAAGAATTATTTGTTCATCCAATACAACTTTAGATGAGCTTGAAAGGAGATTCAGGAATTCAGGTTGAAACTTTTGTATGGTTAATCCCTTTTAGAATGCTCTAATCCGGATCTTTTTCTGATCCGACAGATTAAGTTGATTCCTCGTTGATGTCTCTAAAAGTAGCAGAAGTTACAAGTTAGCTTTTGACTTAAAGGAAGGGATCGGCTAGCTGAAAGTGCAGTATTTTAGAGACAAACTTTAGGATTCATTTAATACCAATGAGACATTATTACGGTGTACAATTTTTAAATAAGAGCGTAAAGTCGTTGATATTTTTTCACCAGCTGTTTCAGTCAGCAGAAGAAACGTTTTTTACAATTACTTAAAAACCCGGACAAAACATATAAAAGAATTATTTTATAGACTGAGTAGCTGTTTCGGAGCATAGAAATTGTCGTTGAAAGCCATGGTAGAACCGCAGAATCGATTATTTCATTATCATCATTTCTAATGCTGTTTCTATAATTTTACTTGCAGTTTTCTTCAAAATGTCGTCTATTACATTAAAATAAGAAAATCTTCAACTAACGACCCTGGCTGAAAGAATTTGCATAAACTTGCGAAATTTTAAAATAACTTTTTTTCAATGATTTAAATTTACTTTTTTTTCTTAACCTGATTATATACGTTAACTAGTCAATCTACATATCTATCTATCTATCTATCTATCTATCTATCTATATATCTATCTATCTATCTATCTATCTATCTATCTATCTATCTATCTATCTATCTATCTATCTATCTATTTATCTATTTCTATCTCTCAATTAATGTAAGTGTTCTTGAGTCAAGAGTTCCCTGAAATACATCTTCTGATTGTTTTCTGATGTTCCATATCTTTACAAATAAATCGTAGATTAAAACAGTAGATAGCAGATGGTAGACATGTGATTATGATATTAGTGGTAGACGATAGGTCGTAGAAAGTGTACAACATAAAGGTGACAGTAGACAGTAATTTACATTTTTAAGTTCTAAATAATAGAAAGCAAACAGCAGATAGTATGAAGTAGACACAAGACTTTTTACTGTAGAACGTAGAGAATAATGTAGAATTTGGACAGGACATTAACATAAGACAGTAGAAAACAGAAAGTAGAAAGAAGACTGTAGAAAGTGGGTAGTATGGACACATTGTCCATTGGACAGGAAACAGGCTAACAGCAGACAATAAAAGTCCTGTGTAGCAAACAGTAGAAAGTAGAAATAAAAATAGTTTGAGACAGTAAAAGTAGACAGTAAGATTCTAATATCAAACCGTTGAAAGTAGAAAGTAAAAAGATAGTATAAGAAAGTATAAAATAGACAGTAAAATTATAGTAGTTGACAGTAGAAAGATGGTATAAAGTAGATAGTTAAAAGCAAGCAGTAAAAGGTAAACTACATGCAGTAGAAAGATAGTATAAAGTAGAAAGTTAAAAGCAAGCAGTAAAAGGTAAACTACATGCAGTAGAAAGAACAGGAGACAGAAAGAAACTAGAAAGCAGAAAATAGAAAGTTGTGAACACAGCAAGAGAAAGTATGAATTCGCGTCCTAATATTTTATTAATGTCCTGGAGACTCTGTAGACAATAAAGATGACAAGCTAGAACTTAATCAATTAATCTGCTAACGTAATATACAAGATATATTTACCATTTATATAAATCTACTAAATAGATTTGTATAAATAAAGAAAAATGATGAAGAATATACAAAAATATTCGTTAATCTTGAGCGCTTAATCTCGATATCTAATGTGTGTACTTTTAAATCTGTGGATCAGTGCTTGATCTCACAGGGCAGGGTCTGACTACCCGAGATATCAAAGTGGAATTAAATTAATCTGCATTTAACATAAAGATCAATTTTTGATCCTGAAATTCGCAACACAATTCTGGCTTTTTTTTTGCATTTCTTGAAATCATTCGTATTGACTTTTCATGAAAACTACATATCTTACAATTTTTCTAAAAATACAAAAATTCTCTTAAACGATTATTCTTTAACAACGACTTGAAAATATGAATTAGTGTTCTAAATTTACTTTATATTGATAAACTAATAAAAGATAGTGTACACTGTTCAATACACACACACACACACCTGTATAAGAATGATTCTTAATTTCGAAACGCTTTTAAGGTTTTTTGGACATGAAATTAATAAGATTCCATCATTTCATAACTTTATTCTGTAAACGCTTATTTACAATTTTTGTTCGTTTTCTGCATCTAAAATTTGGCTTAGTGTAAGGAAATAATTGTAGAATAAACGATTTGGAATTTTGTAAAACTTCTTAGATTTTGTTCAACCTTTAAAAAGTCCAAAAACCTTTTAAAGTTTTTTTAAAAAAGCGAACCAAATCATTGCCCATCACTAATCAGTTATCATGATACCTCAGACAAATTATAATTCATAAAATCGTCTCTAAAGCCTGTTTATTTGTTGGTAAGACTTGACCTAAAATAACGTCAAATTTTTTGTTAAAATGTGTTTTTTTTAGATGAGAGAAAACTTATATTCCTTGCAAGGACCTGTGTTCAGGTGATTTAATAAAATATGCGTTTTAGAGATTTATTTCATTAAATAAACGAAACTTTTTTAGTGACAATGAAAAGGGTCTTATCTTTAATCTTTTTATGTATAATAATAACATTAATGACTGTTCAGTGTAATACAGTGAAACCCTTAATAACGAATACATCGGAAGAATTTATCAAATGTCGTCTTGACAATTTTTTAATGAGTTTTATACTATATTACGTAAATTTTAGTATTTGCGAAAATAAATAAATAGCCATGGATATGCAGGAACAGTTTTAAAGAGTTCCATGTAATCATCTAATTAAAAAACTAAATATCTGCAACATTGCATTATCAGAAAGTGAAGAATACGACATTTGATGAATTCTTTCGATGTATTCGTTATTAAGGGTTTCACTGTACCTTACAATTTCTTAACGATTTCTAAACGAAAAGAGGATATTTTGAAATGTTTTATAGTTGCAAATATAAAGAGAAACATAAAAAATAAAATGTTTTAACGCGTCCCTAAATCCATGAAGTGCATAAACATATAAGACCAAATATGATTTTAAGTAAATCATGATTTTTCATTTTAACTCAAGGAAAATATTGAAGACGACATTATACCACCTCTTAACATAAAGAAAATCCAAAGTGTTATTTGTAACGTATTTTTACTATTTTTACTTTTAATATCCTTATTATTATTATTTTAATCAATTATAATTATTATTATTATTATTATTATTATTATTATTATTATTATTATTATTATTATTATTTGCTAGGATAATTCTGGTGATGTCTGCACTGAGGGAAGGAGAGGAAACAAAACCATAATAATTTGCAGGGATTCATTTAATAACATTTTTCAATTATTAAGGATAATGTGTAGGGTGTACGTAATTTCTAATTAGCTTTCAATTAGTTTTTCTGAGATTCACAACGGTATACCCTTAAAAACTTCGTACAGGGTGTCCCAATAAACATGGGAATTCTGTGACGAATTCAATATCGTCTTGGACATGAATTAGCATTGTAATACCTAATTTTGAAATAATATTATTATGTCTGCTAGAGTTTATACTATTAAAAGGATAAATGGCTTTAAAGATGTGTCTTTAATGTCTCCGCAAGATAAACAGTGAAGACTGACAAGTTTACTTGTTTGTATACTGGAATTTTTTTTGTTTTACTAAGTACCACCGTATGCAGGCAAAACATAAACAAACAAATTGTAAACATATCAGACGAAAATCTTTCTTAGTAGGTATCACTTTACTAAATCAAAGGATTATTTAAAAAGACGATATCGAATTCGTCACTGAATTCCCATGTATGAACAGGAATAAATCGAAATAAATTTATAAATTCCTTAAAGGGAGTGACCGGCAATGTATGGTAATTGAACTGAGAATGTAGTATTGTGGAGAATTTTTTAATGAATCATTTGAAACCTTTTACCGGTGCATATTTGTTCAGCGAGAGCGAAAATTCAATCTTTAAAATCCTCATTGATTGTTTATTTTTGAGGAATCCTTGTGAGAATCGAGTTAAACGAATTATTCAATAACGACGACGAAAAATGGAATAAAAATTTTACAATAAACTAGTTAGATGTTTAGGAACAGGTTAAGAAAATAAAATAGAATCATCGAAAATAAGTAATCTTATTCAGTTATTGGTTTCTGTAATGTCTCATTATTCAAAAACATTTTCTCTAGATTTCCTGGAACTTTTATTGAAAAGACGAAATTTGAAGAATTTAAAGAAATCAGCGAACAAATTCATAAAGAATAAGAATTCAATATAATGATGAAATTGATTCTAACATTTTTTTAAAAATCGATTCTCAAAACGTAACCATCCAAATGAATGATTTTGTACGTCGACTTTGCACCCAAACTCAGTAATTATACATCATTTAACGTTTTATATGTCTTAATGAATCTTTTAAAAAAATTTCCACAATACTACATTCTGCTCTAGTTCAACTACCATATTTTTCCGGTCACTCCCTTTAACTCTAAATTTCATCCTGAAAATCTACTTTGTGAATTTAATGAATTATCCTGATAATAATATTATATGAATTCTATTTGAAGAGAGCACTGTGGCAAGGATTCCTGCAATACGAGTGAAAAATGTAAAATACATTATTTTCTCATCTTTTTTATATCCTTCAAATATTTATTGCATAAATAAAGTGATAAAATAAACAAAATTTTTATAAACTTCATTTTGATGGAAAGAGACAGAGGCTGAACAAATAACCAAGGCTTCTTATCTAATGTTTTTAAGATAAACTCAGCATGGACGTTTCCCGTCATTAAATATTGAAAAATGCAAAAAAGTTGAGTCTTTGTCACAAACTCTGGTTTTTTAATTCCTATATTTTTGCAAACCAATGTCATAGACCTTAGATATTTCAAATTATGAATTCTGTTAAATCATAAAATCTAAGTTTGAAATATCAAAGGTTTACTAAATTCGTGGTTGCAAAGATATAGGGATTCGAAAATTTGAGCTCATGGCAAAGACTCAATTCCTTTTACATCTTTCTGAAATAGATTCTTGTGATGAAAATTTAAAATTAAACAGATCAGTGTGTTTCACACTTGTTTCTTAACGAATACAATAAAGTTGCTTTTTCTAATCTTTTTTATTGTATCAAGAATATATTTTTTCAAAAAAGTCAAAAAATGCATTCTTTCTCATGAACTTGTATTTAAGATTGAAGTTAGTGCACTAAACTAGGCTTAAACTAACTTTATACTTCTAGATAATTCTAAACACTTTGTTGAGTTAATAACTTGGGTGAAAACAATTCTTTTGTATTATTATTTTAAACTCACCGCGCTTACTCTCACCTTTTCTTTAACTATTTAGATTTCATCATTGAAGTACATTTTCACTCCTCTGGTAAAATTTGCATGGTTTCATGAGAAAGGAGCTTGGCTAGTGTACATTTGATTCTTATTGGTTTTAAGTATTGCATTTAGTTGGTATATTTATTGGTCGGGTTTTTTTTGTCTAGATTTTCTTTCAGGTGCAAAATCTTGGCATCGCGTAAAAAAAGAGCAAGACAGAAGATGTTTGTAAAAAAAACGATCTAAAAAGGATGCCTCAACGAACGTGTTGTATCGATCGCTTTTGGATCATTTTTCAGTCTTAAATTTTCAAAATTAAGATATTTAAAGTTTAATAAAATCAAACTTTAACATAATACAGTTTTAATTTGGTCCAAAACGATTAACAACCCTAGTTGCGAGATTGGGCTAAAATTTTACTGGATTCCTTTTGATTGTAAGATTGTGTAAATTATTACAAGGACTTGATTTAATAAATAGCGATAAGTAGTTAAACCCCGTTCCGCAGGTTCAACCAGTTCATTTGTCCACTTGGTCAAGCTGCAGAGAAGAAATAAATCTACGTAGTTCGACATCATTATTACGAGATTCTAATAAGTCGTAGCAGTTCGACATCATTATTACGAGATTCTTATAAGTCCTAGCGGTTCGACATCATTATTACGAGATTCTTATAAGTCGTATCGGTTCGACATCATTATTACAAGATTCTTATAAGTTGTAGCGGTAAGACATCATTATTACGAGATTCTTATAAGTCGTAGCGGTTCGACATCATTATTACAAGATTCTTATAAGTCGTAGCGGTTCGACATCATTATTACAAGATTCTTATAAGTCGTAGCAGTTAGACATCATTATTATGAGATTCTAATAAGTCGTAGCGGTTCGGCATCATTATTACGAGATTCTTATAAGTTGTAGCGGTTCGACATCATTATTACGAGATTCTTTTAAGTCGTATTGGTTCGACATCATTATTACGAGATTCTTATAAGTCGTAGCGGTTAGACATCATTATTACGAGATTCTAATAAGTCGTAGCGGTTCGACATCATTATTACGAGATTCTTATAAGTTGTAGCAGGTTCGACATCATTATTACGAGATTCTTATAAGTCGTAGCGGTTAGACATCATTATTACGAGATTCTAATAAGTCGTAGCGGTTCGACATCATTATTACGAGATTCTTATAAGTTGTAGCAGTTCGACATCATTATTACAAGATTCTTATAAGTCGTAGCGGTTCGACATCATTATTACAAGATTCTTATAAGTTGTAGCGGTTCGACATCATTATTACAAGATTCTTATAAGTCGTAGCGGTTAGACATCATTATTATGAGATTCTAATAAGTCGTAGCGGTTCGGCATCATTATTACGAGATTCTTATAAGTCGTAGCGGCTCGACATCATTATTACAAGATTCTTATAAGTCGTAGCGGTTCGACATCATTATTACGAGATTCTTATAAGTCGTAGCGGCTCGACATCATTATTACGAGATTCTTATAAGTCGTAGCGGTTAGACATCATTATTACGAGATTCTTATAAGTCGTAAGATTGGCTATCTATCTGAATCCCCTTCTACTCTTATGGCTCAAGGACACCATATATATGTAGCTGGACAATACTTGAAATTATTTCATTTTTTATTTCTCCCCCGAGAGCAAACTAATATCTTAGAGGTTTGCAGAAATGATTTTTCACATTGCACACATTTTAGATAATTGAATTCTGTCAAGGGAGCATTTTAATTTACGCTCTAGTATTTATCAAAGAGAAGAAAAAGAAACTGAATACTTGCTACAAACACAGATCTTCTCATATTTAAATCTTTACAATAAAATCGGTATTTGAGATTTCAAACTATGAATTCTGTTATATAATATAGTAATTTAAAGGATGTAAAGATAAAGGAGAATTCTAAATTTAGGGTTTGTTGCAAGTGTTCAATCCCTTTTCAAAAAACGTTATTCGTCTAAGAATAATTTAAATATTTGTTATAAAGTGTTGTAATAAAGCTGTGTAAATTAATTGAAAATCTTACCAAACTTTTATCAAAAGAACTTTAAAATATGATATTTAGATTTTTGAAGAATAACTCAAACTTTTCACAAGATTAAACTTGCCAATTTCTGGTTTAAAAGCAAATATTAATCTATAAAAAATTCTTTTAAAAAAATGGAGTTTGAATCAAGAATAACTTTAAGGCCTAACGATGAAAAAATAAAAAGATTCACAATCTTTCTGGATTTGAGTAAATTGACAGTTATAGTATTTATATACAAGATGTTCATTATAAAATCTAATGTTAAATGTCAAATGTGCAAATAAGTTTTTAATCATACTTTGCTTTAAACACTTTCATCAAGAGCATCTTCTCTTTACATTTTTACATAATTAGCTTTTTTAATGATGGTTTTCTGTCCCGAAGAATGTAGTTGATGTAGACAAGTTTAGATTAAAAAGGGACTGAAAGTGTATATTCAACTCAACTGAAGTCGCGAATAACATAACATTTATTTAAAAAAATAAACGCGGTTTTTAGAAATTCTAATGTGAATATTTATATTCTGCCACTTATAAAAAGTAAATATATATACAAATTTCTTAAATAATTCATTTATTATTCAATAAAAAAAAACAGATAAACATCCTCATGCACAATGTTTCATGGACAAATTGTTATCCCTTCACTATATATAAAACAGCTTGCCAAAAAAGTGTTTAACAATTACAAGGGTTTCCCTTTAGACAAAAAAGGAAGAATCTGTCCTCCTTGATTAGTCAAAAGTGTAAAGGGTACGGTTGTTAATCATGGAATTGTCCCTCTTCAGCTGGAAAAGTTCACTTGAAATTATGCGTACAGTCCCTTTAAGCTTTTAATAAACATTCATTTTTATCTGTAAACTCTGGTATCTGCTCCCGGCTTACTGCATTTTTAAATTAACAAACTTCCCAAGCTTCCATTACAAAAAAAAGTTTGCTATGGAAATTGAACTGGAGGAAACTGGTCCAAATTTTAGAATAATTCTAAAGAAAAATTTCGAGCAGTTTCTAATAATTTAAATCAAATCCCCATTTTAATTAACTATGTGTACACCTTTTCAACTTAATCCCGCCTAATCTAATCTAACCTATTTTAAGTTCTTATAGATGTATTTTGGTGAAAATATTGTTACACTTCGTTCAAAATGTATCAAAATATCTGTATGAAAAAACTTTCATAAATGTTGAATTGATGTATAAAAAACCCTGAGGTTTATTGTAAACAACTACATCTTATTGACTAATCAAGGATAGTAATGTACCTTCACTTGCTTAGTTTTTTAGGTCTTTTTTGCCTTTATTTTCTTTCAAGCTCAAACAATTTTGTATAATGTAAGAAAAGCAAATGTATTCTGAACATGTGTGTTTCAAACCCTGGCAGAAGATAAATGCAAAAAGCGACCAAAAAACGATCCAAACACGATGCAAAAATGAATGTGTTGAAACGATCAATTGGATCGTTTTTGGATCGTTTTCCCATTTTTAAGGATAAAGATATTGGAAATTTTAATGAAGGCAAACTTTAACATGATTATTTAAGAAATCTGATAAGTTTTATTTAATTTTTTTAAACTATCAAAAACAACACTAATCGAGGAAGTATACGTCAGGAAGTTCTGTGCATTTATTTATAATAAATATTGTTCTGCAGTTTTATAGAAATATAAACAAACTGAGAGCTGACTTTTGTCCATATTCCTTTTTTATAAACTGGAGAAAATATGTTTGTAAACAAAGATATGTAGGTTATTGGTTGTGCATCTTTCATTAGGACTAAGGACTGAAATGACTGTTTCTGGTTAAATAGTTTTGTTATGAACAGTGGAAATTACATCATTAAAGTGTAACCTCAAGGGGATGGTATTTAAATTTTAATTCGGAACAAAAAAAATCAAAATAGATTTCTACAAATGAATATTTTATGTCCTGTCTTCGCCATGTTGCCTTTTTTTGGACAACATTCGGATTTGACACCCATCCATTTCCATCTAATCCGGACTTAACACCTCACACTGTTAAACCCGGTTTCATGTATACTCAGATATACATGGAGAATAGAACTAAGGAGAGAGGTTTATGTATACTCAGATATACATTTAGAATAGAACTAAAGAAAGAGGTTTATGTATACTCAGATATACATGGAGAATATAACTAAGGAGAGAGGTTCATGTATACTCAGATATACATGGAGAATAGAACTAAGGAGAGAGGTTCACGTATACTCAGATATACATGGAGAATAGAACTAAGGAGAGAGGTTAATGTATACTCAGATATACA